AATCGCGGCACAGCGCACCTGCCCCTGCACCTGCTAGTACGGAGTCACGGTCGATTACGCCCCTTTCTACTGCAAAGTGGCCTGAAGCACCGACAGGCGCGGAGCCCTCATCTCATTTCTATTCCACTCACAATCCTATTCCTGATCAGCTCAAGGTCCCCCCGCCAAAAGTTGGCTTCGAGTATTCTGAAAGTGAGGCCTGGCTCAACCTCACCTCATTTCTGGCATTCATGAGCAAAGAATCCATCCTAGATACCCTTGACGACGTCGGCCTCGTCATGATGGGATCTGTGTTGGGCAGTGAGGGAATGGCTCTCTCTGCTCCTGCTTCTGGGATTGGCAGCCATTCCCACGCCCAGGGTGGTGATTATCCCCTTTATCCTCAGAGTCAACCTGAGAGCTTCACTGGCTGCATCGTCACCAAACCGTGTCTTGACCTTTACATCTCGGCCGCAGCCATCTGGGCCGTGATCACGGGCGATGATATCTGGAATCGCAGGGGTGAGGCCGCAGGAAACGAGTTTGTGGTGGGACTGTCATTGGACGATGATGACAGAGACGGTGACTCAACCATGCTAAGGAGGACTGCCTCCATGTCGCTGCGGAGTAACAGCACAACAGGCGCCACTTCGACCATGTCTGGTGGCCCGTCAGGCCTGGCACCCACCACACCCGCAAGCAAAGAAGCCAGGGCTATCCGCAGAGCTAAGGCCGACGAGCGAACCCCGCGAGGAGACGGCAAGGATGCTATCTCCCGCCGGACGTGGGACGCGTGGATCGGCCGCCTTCGGGCGGCCAGCTGTTATGAGGATCTGGCAGCGTCGACTAGGTCAATCGCTGCAGAGGCGGCGGACGTGATGTTGAGAGCTTGCACGTCGTTGGATACATAATGTCACGTAATACTAAAGGCTCACCGAGCGGGAGGGCACCCTACTCGTCATTCATATGGGTATAATGGAATAATCATACATATAGGCTCTAGCAGAGCTCCCATTTCATCAGTGAACATCTGGGGTACCCGTGGGCAATCAACCAGATTTGGGTGATTCCGTAGATCGGAGCACACTGCCACCGCGCTGCGTTCCTTTCAGAAGTCCAGAGCCAGACCAGACCAGCTGAGTAACCGAACTGGCCGACTGGACTGGATGTGCCATATTGACGGTAGTTTCCAGACCACGAGATGAGGGGCTGCGTCCTGTACCTACCTCCTTCCAAACCCGGAATCCGGAAGCCAAGATCAAGCCTATTTGAACAAGCCATTTTTTAAATTGACTGCGTCCGACTTTCTGGCAAACTGCTCCAGCAATGTGTATCTTGTTTCTTTGAAGAGAAACAACCAGTTTCCACTACCTGAGTTCTGAATAGAAGGGTATGTATGACATATAGCTCTATCTAGAATTGCCAAGTCACGTCACAATGCTGTAGGAGGGGCAGTGGATCACCCATGCCACGTACAGTATATGAGCGTATAAGTGACACTCCACAGTTCAATGCACACATAAAGAATATAGATTAAGAAGATATAAGGGAACAGGGAAAAAAAAACGACGCAATGAACTCTAAGATAGCCTCGCTATGAACGACTCGAAAAGTTTCACAAAACTGAAAATATATGATCTGTATGTGTCTAGGAGAACTTGACCCCTTTGCTTGGATCCCACGTCCCTGCTGCTCCGCCCGCCGCTCCGAACCGAATCCCCATTTCCGGCGTCCACATGCCCGGCGTCATCGGGGGTCGCGCGTTGGCCCGCGTCGGTTGCGGGGCGGTCATGGGTTCTGCGCGGGGCGGCGCTTGGGGTTGAAGTTGGGGTTGTTGCGGTGTCGTCGGGACTGCTGCGGGAATGGGGGCGGCTTGGGGTTGAGGCGGCGGAGCGGGTGCGTTGTATGTTGCTCGTGACTGTTGCTGCGCCGGTACAGGTGCTGCTGCTACTGGGTCGTATGCCTGATGTGGAGTCTGGCTATAGAGGTGGGTGGTCGGGACGGGCGACGTATATGATGGCTGCTGCTGCTGCTGTTGACGAATGGGTGGGGAGATGTTCAGTGAGGCCATTGCGGCAGCACTGGAGATGTCACTATGAAGGAGGCGGTTAGCTCGATTGGTAAGGAGGACTGGTTCTTCGGGGGGGGGGGGGGGGGGGGGGGGGGGGCAAGAGGCTGCTCACGCTTCGATCTGACTAGCTTCCATCCTCCGCTTGTGCACAAAGGCCTTGCAATCGTCGCGAAATCGTCCTACGATCTTGGCCAAGTCGTTGTAGAATTTGCGCCCGACTTCGATGTTGGATATGATCTCCTTATACTTCAGGTATCCGTTCTCCAGTTCCTGCAGGGCACGTTCTCTTTCCTTTGTCGACGCATCGCCAGTATGTGCGCGTGAGAAGGCCCGGTTGGCCTCGCAGATGCGTGATGCGAGCTGGTCCTGCCCCTGCTGCTCCTCGGCTACCATTTGCAGGTCGGTGTCATACAGGCGGAGCTGCTCCTCGAAAAGGTCCTCAAACTGGCTCGCCTGAATGGGCTGCATGGGAAACTCGCGTTCCAAGCGTGCAGTTTCCTTGGTCAGTGCTCGGCCTGCTGGGTGATTAGTTCTGAGTTGTTGGCATTGTGTACACCGGTTTTACTCACTGATATCATCCGCCCGCGCCTTGTCCTTGAGAGCCTGCACCTGTCGCTTACGCCGGCTTTCCAGTCGATTTACCTCGCTCAAGCATCCACGCAATCGCGTCACCTCCCGCTCAACCTCGGGCGGAATCGCGGCCCTGCGACTGCTGGGAACGTACAGTTCGAGGTCCCGGTTTGTGCCGGTCAGCACGCGGAAGACCGCCTCCGAGGCTTTCAGCTTCTGTTCCACGAGGTTATCGCTACTCTGAGCTGACGTGAAGTACCCTTCAATCTCTCGGGACGTTGTGTAGAGCTTAGAAGCTGCTTCTTCGGACGACGCACGTGTCCACCGGTCAGTGCCATACCGGCGGCGTGATGCATCATCTTCTGCTTTCTCGGCCGCAAGAAGCTCTACTCCTTCGGTGTATACTGCTCTGTCGTTGCCCTTGACCTTGGCCGTATCCTCGAGAGACCTACGCAACCGGTAGAGACCATCCTGCTGGCGCATCTCCTCTGCGTGAGAGACCAAGGTCGGGGGTAGTCCCAACGGCTTTTCAAGTGCTTGTAGGGAACCTGGGAGATTGAGGGACGAAAGCAGGCTGAATTTGTCAGTAGGCTGGTCCTTATGTAAGGGTTCGAGGCACTTACTCTCGCAGTTTGTCCGTCATAGTCTCCAGTTCTCCGATGATCCTCTCGTTGACTAATCTATCTCTCCTATCAGAGTAGATGCTTGCCGCAATATGCACCGCGTATGGCACCAACTTCGTGAATAGCGGCTGGCCTAGGGGCCCGCTCTCCCCAAGCATCGAGACGGCATCTGTCACCTGCGACGGCGCTTTCGCGGCCACCATACACGCGCGATCGATCAGTTTCAGCTCCGACTTGGGCGGCACTGGATTTAAGTAGATGATATCATTATCCTTCTCCGCGCGCTTTAAATCCTCCGTGACGCGGCTCTTGAGGCCCTGCAGATCCCCCAACACCGTGCGGTTGATCCAACGGGACTCCTTGAGCGCCTCGTTCACACAGAGCTCACTGTCCTTCAGCCGCGCCACCTCCTCACCATACTTGCGTTTCTCCAGGCAATCCAACGACTGTCGGTACTGCGCCGCGGCCGCGAAGTGATGGTGCTTGGCAGTCATGTGGTGAATCCACTCCGGACTGATCGCATTCGACTTGACCGCATGGTCGCCCGCGTCGGCGTAGAAATCCGAGACCTTGGCGGCCAGTCGAGCAATTGAGGCGTCCTTCAGCCCATCCTTCACGGCCTTCTGCCAGAAACATTCCTGCGCTTGCGCGAGAAGAAGCTGCTCCAGGCTCTGAAGAGTCATCTCGTCCATGTCTTCCGGCGGAGATGTGCGAAGATCAGGTAGAATATCGCATCGGAGGTGCACCAGAACGCCCGCCGCTTGGCAGAAGTAGTTGCATGCCTGCTTGAGTCCGTCCGCAGTAGTTCGGTTCACGGAGAATGCGAGCTGCGAGTACAAGGCCGCGAGATTGTATATGATGTTGGCGAGTTCGTAACGAAGGTTGTTTTGCGAGACTATGCAGTAGCCCAAAGGTATTAGCTTGAGGGGGGTTCTCTCTTGTCAGGGTGCTCCGAGCGGTCTGGTGTCTTCTAACGTACTTGGTCTCGAGGTGTTAAATCCAAAGGCCGGGTACCATGGGAATTCCACGCCAACCTGCGGCAGTTCAAGCAATTAGCACAGTCACTACTTCGTCTTCGGTTCCACAGGTCTTTCATGCGCAGGGGTGCACTTCGATATCTGTCTCCAGAAAGGGCATGAGCGGACATGGCTTACATCGACTGGAAATTTGCCGCCAAGCCACTTCAGCTGCGCCGCGTAGGTGACCAGCCGGCTGATTCCACTAACATGTGCCTCCTGGACATTGATTGCTTCGCTCCGCAGCCGGTCGATGATCAGGAGATCCTCGGCGAACATATCCGGACGCTGGTCATATTTCGAGGAGATATACTGCGTAATGGCATCGTTGAGGGAGACGGGGTGCGACCGCCGAAATGGGATCTGGAGGATATTACTGTATCCGAGTTAGCGGATTCCAGAGAAGGTTAAGAAGATTGAATTCACATACGATGCCATCGTGTCCTTCGATTGAGCGCACGCAGGCGAGTGTGAACGGTCGGCCGATGGCGGGGAAGTTTTGTTGACAGAAAAGCCCAATCCTGGACCCCGCCGGGGCAACGCATGACGTTTGAGCTCTGTGCCTGAGGCAGAAATACCCACCGTCAGGTACACTTTTACATCTACTGAATTATGTCTACATTTATGTACTATGAAAAGCACATAGACATCCAACATAATTCATTCTGTATTTGCGGCTTGGAGCTCATGCCATTATGTACTTGAAGAAGGATCATAACAAAAAGTCCGACCATATACGCCCAACAATACACCCACACCCACACACACATACACATGTACTGTACTGTACGCATTCCAACCGGTCAGTGAGCCTTTCATCATATACTAGTCCAGCTCGTTTATCCTCATTTTGATATACTCAAAGATACTAAGGAGGATCATATTATTGACCCCCGTCCGTATCAATATAATCGAAAGTCCCTTGTACATGCTCGATTTGGCTACGGCGGCCGTTGCCTCGCCCACCTCCTTTGTTTTTCCGAGCAGGACACTCTGTGCGCGAGTTTTCCGGGTGTCAAGTGGATAGGTCTGCTTCAGTTAGCTGGGAAGCTGGGATCAAGTTCTGGACAAAGCTTACACAGAACCAAGGGACGGTGCTGCAAATGGCACCCGCGATCATGGGCGCTCCGAACGGAGACTTGTCAGGACCCAGCTCCTTCGCTGCAAGTTGTTTGACAGTTTCATAGACGGTGAAATAGAGACCAGAGCCGAGCGTATCCCGCATGGCGTGAAGATGAAATCCCGTGTACAACCCGCGGATACCATACCGCTGAATGATCTGTTTGATGGCCTCGACGGTTCCCAGGCGTGGTTTTTTGCGAAGAGAAGGATCATTGACTGCGTCCGGGGCGGCCTGTGCACGGTTCGAAACCAAGACCGAGGTCTGAACCACATTTTTGGCGAGCTCAAAGGGGCCTATCGCACGTCAGCGGGCGGAATTCTTGCCTATAATCCACAGCGCCAGAACATACAGGCTAGGGGGGAGGTTATAAGGCCAGCAACGAGGCCAGCACCGGTGAAGGTGAACAGCGTAGACAAAGTGGGGCTACTGCCTGGCTGGTTATACATCGCCAGTGGCGATTCCCCGGTCATTCTCTCAATGAAATCGGAGATTCGATGTTTGGCCGCGTTGTAGGTTGTAAAGTTAACCACTCGGACCGCCGTAACGCTTGCTAGAGGTGGCAGGGCTCCTGAGATTCGACATACACATTAATGCTCTGTCGCGCAGAATCCAAGGGGCGATGTCGACCTACCAGCAACGTAACCGCGGGGTCCTTCGGTACGCCACAGGTAGCGGACGCATTGGAAGACATTCTTGAAATTATGTCTGCATCGAATCCGTCAGCAAGGAACCTCAACCATCTCGTCCCATGAGCGAATCGCACTCACGTCTGCATACGAGTTTTGACATTTTCCAATGGAGTCTACGCCAGCCGTTCGCACCTCCGGTCAGCTCATTCCATAGGTCCCTCGCTTCTGCTCGGTGTTGACCTACCACAGCGAGGGTGGCACAAACTGTCGAAGTCGCCGAGGCCACCTGGGTTTTGTACCTCTTGAGCAGTCTGTTTCGCTTGGTTTCGTCCATAAGCCAGGGACTTCGGTTCGACATGGCTAGGGGAGGAGATTTCGAGGGGGTCGGGGTAAAGGGTGCATGTTCAGCGCGTTTGTCTAGAGTCATGCCTGAAGATATCCCATCTGCGGCAGATGAACAGACCTCTTTGGTTGTGTATGTTCAGTTGGAATGGCTGTGGTTATAGGCAGGTCGACAGGAACAAGCAGGCTGGGGAACCCTATGGAACGCAAAGCGGTCTCTCAACGTGCGAGCAGACCGTTCAGCGTCCCACAATTATCCATGAAGCAGATCCCGACAACCTCCTGAACAGTTTTCTTTCACGGCTGAAAGAAAGGAGGTATTCCCTCTCAAAGGGTGGGGTTGACGGCGGTCAGTGGAGGAGATCGCACCAGCACACAGCAGCTCTGGAGCTACTGAATTGCTACTGAATGTTTCCCGGGGTCGAATAGGCGGCGTCCAGCTCGAGAGCGCACTGAGAGGTCGCGAATGCAAGATTGGAGTCCAGATTCAATTTTCTCTTTCTACCAACTGAAGCCTTGCACTGTTGTCCAGGAAGACCTGTTGAGGATGCATAAGGGTGAGCCACTACTTTTCAAAGCACGCCAGTCCTCGCACCTCCTAGCTAGGAGGAATTAAATTCTCATCCGCGAGACGACAAGCTCCACGTACCTATGCGGAACAACTGCGACGCAGTGCGGTGGCAGCCGAAGGCCAGAGTCGGGAAGACAATGGACTGTGCGGATGGCAGGGAAGAAGAATAAGGTCGAAGAAGAATGGAAGGAAGTTTACGGATACAGTAGTAGAGACTAAAAAGAGAGAGGGAGGGAGCGAGTCGACAATCATCACGACTAGACTAGACAAGACAGACGGGGTTACCAGAAAATCGCTCAACCAGTGGGTGAGCAGCAGTGGTACTTAGTCTGGGTTAGTTTCAGCAGTTAACTTTAGTGAGCCTAGTTCGGTTTTAGTTTGACTTAAGTTGATGCAGAGACAGCATAGACAGCATAGGCAGCATAGGCAGCATACTGTGTAGACTACTCGGTCGTCCTTCGAGAAATTTGGGCAGAGAGAGCATGGATTGATCATTAATTCATTATTGTGGACTGTGGGGGGTGTGGGTGGGAAGCCACTCACTGGAGGATGACTACGGAGTACCCAGTGGATCATTGAATCACTGCAGTGGCCGGCCACTTGAACAGGCTTAGTGGGGTCCCCGTCCAGTGACGTCGTCGTGAGGCATCCAGTGCAACTTTGCAAAGCGTCAAAATAGTATACTAGGTGCTCCGTAGACTAACCTACTCCCTAGAGGTTGTTTCTGCATCCGTTCAACGGAGAAAACGGTTGACAAGATGGGATTGCCCATCATCCAATTGACTGGTGTGCCTTTGTTTCCATCTGTTTGCTTAGCCAAACGATAATCGAGTAGTAGCCTCTTGTGGGTCCGTTGATAGTCTACATATTTTTCTGCGAAATGTTTAACCGAGCGGGAAGTGTTTATCCCTCATTAGACAACCCCCCGCTATAAGCCCATCCAATACACATACTCAGGATGCAAAATATGACAGACTTTGAACACTATGATGTGTGGCAAAGAAGGAAAGGGAGCTGCAGCGGACCAAACCAGTCCGGTCGGTGGTTGCGGTGGTTGCACCCGCCGCCCGGACGGATCGTCTACGGCATCGAGGGCAATAAGAATATATCGATCGATCAATCAATCAATCAGTCCATCAATGACTCTACCCCGCCCTGGCTGAACCACACTGCAAGCCACCAGTCGGGATCTGATGGTTGATGATTCTAGCCTGGTGTCCTGTGGTCCTTGCCTAATACGGATGCAAAACATGCCAGTCGGTTGTTCTGCCGGAGTTTACTGCTACATGTGGAATTACTCGTATATACTAAGATGTGTACTGTACAATAGTGTAAGAGTAAGTAGAGCGAGCGGTCTTCAGCCCACATTCAAAACATGTGGCAAGAACTGGGCAGGCAAGTCAGTCCTCTCTGGGGTATGTGGTGTGCCACATCGAGGTGTTGAATGATATCCCCCACCTCCCACCTCTCCTCTTTTTGTCGCGACAAGCATAATTTACAAGCTTCACATGCAAGTCAACCACATAAACGATCACCACCATGCTTCCCTGATGACCCTTTCCCTCACTTCATGACTCGGCACTTTTTATCGAAAGCTTGGCCCAGATCGCCAGCAACGGGCTGATGGTAGACTGTGGGCCTTCGAACATGCGCGCGCAGATAAGATGATCGCTACTCAACCATGGAAGCTCTTGGTTGGGCCGTGGCACTGGTGTCGTAATTCATCTTGTGCTGGGTCGGTCAAAATACCAGCATCGAGGACTCCACGATCATCATTGGCTCTTTAGGCAAGACAAAGTCTTGGTGGTGATACCTCTGATCACTTCACTGTCTTGATTGAACGAATCATCTCTCCGAGACTCGGTTGGCATTGTCGATCCACGGAGAGGTGCACACACCCTTGGGATCATGGATCAGGATTCTGTAGCAATCAATTGAAAGCAACGCTATGGTCACTCGATTTGTGTCGATGCTAATTGGTGGGCGACTCCCGTGCTTCGTACCGCAATGCATCTCGAGGAATCAAGACAACGGGGAAGAGGAGCGTGGTCAGGCTACTCAATACCCAAAGTAGAAGTAGACAGGGAATTGGCCCAGTGGGTTGACTGCGGATTTCATGGTAGCACCAGTCTTAGCAGCCAGGGTCTGTTTTCATCATATATTATGCGAGATCCTCAGTTCGGGGTTCCACAAGTACTGTACAGTTTATATGTATATATATACTCAATCTACCTGTCCTGAACTCGTGCATGATATGATTCATTCTCAGGTGTGACAGGATCCAAATGCTGAATATCCATAAAGAACCAGAAATCTCGCCAATGTGTTCTGCGATACGAAAATAGGATATTTTAATCATAAACTTAATCATTATTGTTCAATCCTCATGCAAGGTAAGGTAAGTGGGGAGGGGGGCTTGGGGGGCTTACCCTCGGGACCTCGGTCCCGTAGGCGGTTTCCCCGCAAAAAGGAGCGTTACTCCGCATCGGACCACTTGATGTTTGCACTACCACCATCAAAACACATAACTACGCCTGCCATACTACCTCCTGAATCTCGCGTCGCTCAAGTCAACCAACTTCCAGCAGAGTATCTCTTGACACATATTTTAGGTTCAATTCGCGCTGACTGAATCGGATCACAAGCCCTAAAGAAAGAACTCCCCCCATTTCTTTCTCCGACCGATCAACATGGGCAAGAAGCCTTCAGGTCCCGCCTACGTTCTGGGCGTTGGCATGACCAAGTTCATAAAACCGCGTGGCAAGGTTGATTATCAAGAGCTGGGTTTTGAAGCTGGGGTCAAGGCTATGCTGGATGCCCACATCAACTATGACGAGGTCGAGCAAGGGGTTGCATGCTACGTGTACGGAGATAGTACCTGCGGGCAGCGCGTCTTTTATCAATTTGGACTCACGCAAATTCCCATCTACAATGTCAATAACAACTGTTCCACAGGGTCTACAGGTTTGGCTATGGCCCGAACGCTGGTTTCTCACGGGGCCGCAGACTGCATCCTGGTTGTTGGCTTTGAGAAGATGAGTCCCGGTAGTCTCCAGTCGGTCTACAGCGATCGCGCGAACCCGACCGGCCTGTTCGGCAAAATGATGGCTGAGACTAGAGGATACACCAATGCCCCAGGTGCAGCACAGATGTTCGGCAACGCTGGTCGCGAGTATATGGAGAAGTAAGTGTGTGGTCTGGAACCGATCGCTGCTAAGTTGAAAGGAATGAACTAAATCGTCACATGCAGGTATGGTGCTGAAGCCGAAGACTTTGCCAACATCGCGCGGATTAACCACGAGCATTCTAAGCGCAATCCATACTCCCAATTTCAGGACGAATATACTCTTGACCAGATCCTTAAGTCGCCGATGATCCACGCACCTCTGACGAAGCTGCAGTGCTGTCCAACATCTGATGGCGCGGCCGCTGCTGTGGTCGTCTCCCAAGCCTTCCTTGAGGCGCGCCCCCACCTGAAAGACCAAGCAATCCTGATTGCGGGCCAGACGCTCGCCACTGATCACAGCTCCGTGTATGATCGCAGCTCTATTGACTTGATGGGATTCGGAATGGCCCGCAATGCGTGCCGAGCTGCAGCAGCTGAGGCGGGAGTGAACGTCAAGGATATCAAGGTGTGCGAGCTACACGACTGCTTTTCTGCCAACGAGATGATCACCATCGATGCACTAGAGCTGTGTGAGCCGGGAAAGGCGCACGAAATGGTGCGACAAGGCGACATCACCTATGGTGGAAAGATGGTCATTAACCCTTCTGGAGGTCTTATCTCCAAGGGTCATCCATTGGGGGCAACGGGTTTGGCGCAATGTGCAGAGCTTGTTTGGCACCTGCGTGGCTGGGCCAACAATCGCTTAGTTGACGGCACAGATGCCGCCCTTCAGCACAACCTGGGGCTGGGAGGTGCCGTCGTGGTCACCGTATACAAGCGAGCAGATGGCAAGGCCGCAACTCCAGTACCATCGGAGACAGTGGCAAACATCACGGGGCTGGGGTACAACCCGGCTGTCGAAGCCAAGGGCTTCACAGCAGAGCAAGCTCGATCAGTCCAGAGTCGGAAACATAGTGACAAGTGGGCGTTGGCCGACACGCAGGACCGGGTGCTGGCGCGGTTCTAACGCTTCTAGCTCGAAGGATGCGTATAGGGCAATTGTGGACACTGGGGGTGGATTATAGCATTGCAGATATGTAGTACAGTACAAGCTGTAAAGCTGAGTCATTGGACTATTGGTATCGACTGATGCACTTTCTCAAGTTCCTCTCAAGTCTCAAGTTCATGCATGCCCTTGTGTGTAACCGCGATCCTCTCGGCAGCACGTTGCGCCGCCCGCGCGCGCGCGCGTAGCTGACATAAGCGGCTGCGGTCCACCGCGCTGCTTAAATTTTCGCGCAACTTCACAGCTCAACCATTTTCCTTCTTCTTTTATCATACCAGGTCTCCAACATACCCTTGCGGATAGATGCCCTTTGGCACGTTCTTTTTGCAAATTTTAGCTTCGAGACCAAGAGCGAACTTTTCGCATGCTCGTTCTAATCCCATCACGTGGCGCAGGGTTGGTCTAACCATCTCATCACGCTGTAGTTGGGTTCGCTTTTGAGCACACATCCCTTGTTTGAAAAAACCCGTTACATCGTTTCCATGCCTTCGCATATCTAACAACTCCTATCTCTTATAGAGTTGGATGTTGCAACAAGTCTTGCGTGGTATGAGAGCTTGAAACTAGCTCGGATCCTGGAAAAAGATGATTTTCCTCGATTCGCCTGTGTCAAGCCATGCTCTCTTGCTCAACCTTTCTTATCTCTCGTTCTCTGCGCACTAACCTACAGGATATATCGACACGTAGCCTAGACTGCAAAAGGCACTTTCGAAGTCTCGTCCGTCATACTCCATGATATTCGAGGTCAAATTTGTGCCAAAATTGAACCCCCTGGACTCTATTGTCCAACTTTCTTTCTCCCTCGTGTTGCGTCCGCTGTCAATCTGAAATGGGGCGGTACGTGTCAAAGCAGGGAGGTACATTCAAACCCGTAGAATTATTATAAGTGGTCCTGTTCCGTTGGCTCGCGCCGGCGGAATGCAAGCTTGTAGAACAGTTCAATATAGACCTGAAGTCTGCCAGCCATCCCTGACGGAGGGAAGAGAGGGTGCGGTGCGCGTTGCAACCATTATCAGGTATGCGCTACGGCGCGAGTCAGCAACCGGGGCCATCCTTGTGGAACAAAACCATCCCTTAAGATTCGATCGAGGGAGGTGGTTATGTCGTGCAATTCCTAGGGCAATCATGGCCAGGATCAGTATCCCGCTTGGAATGTACAGTACGTACTCAATTGACTGATAATAAGCTTCACAGGGCGCGGTGCCTGGCTGAACCAAGGCGGCAGGAGGCTGCGGTGGCGTGGATCAATGGTAACTTACTGAGGGTGTGCCGGCCCCTTGCATTCCTGCAATCAAGGTACAGAACCATGACTGGCTTGTCGCGAGGTGCTGGTGCATTGTCGCACGGGGACGGAGGGGCGTCGAGTCTTGAGAGGGCGACAATAGAAACTCGGATCTTCAATTCCCATGCTTTGAGGAGGCGCGAGTGGCCGCACTCCCTATGATCGCCCTCACTCCTAGTTGGAAGGCCCTGGCAAGATGCCAGTTATAAAGCTTGACTTCATCTCTCCTCCCTGTAGAAAACCAGGCAGGTGTTCGGATTCAGTTTTACAGTCATCGATCGGAGGTCTTTCTCTCGTTCTTCTTTCCTTTCCAATTCATTGTTTGTCAACCTTGGCTATAGATCGCCTCGTCTAGTACGCCTGTCCACTCTTTAACTTTCAAACCCCCAATATTTTTTTTATCTTAGCAAATCGCAATGGCCCGCTTCAGCCTCTCCGTCCTTGTGCTCTGCCTTTTCATGGCCTTGATGGCGTCCGCCATGCCTGTCAAGCGCGACGATGTCGCCAATGAAAGCGACTACGCTATGCAGGGGATCGAGGTAAAGATCCAGCCCTAGATTTGGCTTCGACGGCGTATGCTAATATCTGACTCAAGTCCGCCGCCAAGATGATGGAGGAGATGATTGAGAAATACAAGGAAACCCAAGAGGCGAACGACAACTCCAACGATGCCTCTTCCGCAACCGCCGACAAGACTGAGAACCAGAACGCTCCGATGGAGGATGCGAACACGAGTCCTTCTTCCACTACTCCCACGGAGGCGACTCCTGCTGCCAGCGCTGCCGCCCAGTCTCCCAAGCCTAGCAAGACTCACATCGTGAACGACAACCCTTTTGCGAAATTACCCCTTGTCGGCGGTCTGCTGAGCGGCGGTGGTCTCCCCGGTCTGTGATGCCCCGAGGGTGCTCGCCCCGGTGCCGGCATAGGCAACTGCCGGGAAACCCAAGTTTTGGTGTTAAAGTCTTTGTTGTTACGGTGCTATGTATGAGGCATGATGATTGTGAATTTTCCCACCTTAGTTTTGGGTTTGCTTGGTGGAGCTCGTTTAGTCGCGCGAGTTGGTATCCATAGAATACTCGATAGGATAGTTAGTACGCAAAAAGAAATAAGAATTCAGTGCTATGAGACGAAAATGTCGGCTATGCAGAAATACTCCGTGCGAATCAATAGGCAAACATTCGCTTATGGGCGATTTCCGTGATTGCAACCCATGCATGGGCAACATGATAGCTTTGGGTATATAGTAGTGAAATGGTTCGCCATGCAGTAAAGCCACAGGTTTGTTCAGGAACCTTGATTTTGATTTGCTCGCTGCTGCCCTTCATAGAGACCGGTATAGTATCCAGCATAATACCAGGCCATCATGAGATTCTTCAAGCCTTCATCTTGCACTATTCGCCGGCGTCAGTATCTTGCTACCGGCCCTGATTTGAGTACCACAAGAGCCTTACCTTGTGCTAGAGCGGCATGAGGCGGAGGCACTGCTCCTGCAGGAGTGAAGCCTTGGCCAGTGGGGGCAATTGTTGGATTTGCAGCCGCGGATGTCTGCCCTGTTGTCTGAAAGAAGTGAGCATATGCAGCCCAGAAGACGGGATTTTAGGCTTACCTTCGAGGTCTGAAGAGTAGGGGCCTGTTGAGAACCGATAGTGACTTTTGCTTCAGCAGAAGTTGCATCAACTACAGACGGCGGTTCGGCGTCATGATCCATGCTATCAACCGCTTCATCCGATTCTTGCGCCGGTAAGACATCCTGAGAGCCCGCTTCAGCCTCTGCCTCTCTCAGTACATCATCTACATTCTCTCCTCTTGCCTGGATGCTGTGATAGAGCTGTCGTGGTCGTCGTTAGCATTTGGATCACGTGCCCCCCCAACAGAGGAGCTCATACTTTGTATTCCTCGACAGCTTCATCCCAACTCTGGACCAGCGCAGAATCATCCCAGATCTCTTCTTGTGTCAGTGGCCGATTGGCATTCTTAGACTTTCCCATGGTATCGAATAAGAGGCAGCAAAGAGAGGGGACAAATGAGGATAAGATGGCCGACTCCCTACAGATAGACTGACTGGAGTAGTCAGCGGCAGCCACGCCGAGTGAAATTCACTGATGGTCGGCCGGCCGGGCTCGAACTCACCGCTTGGCGGCGGAAAAATTGCGAGCAGAAAAAAAGTTTCCCGCACCTTTTCGCAAAGCCCGCCGATTGTAGCGCTTCAAACACCAGCCTACATTTCTACGCCAGATCACAACACGATGGCTCCGGACAAGAAAGACAAGAAGCGCAAGGGTATGTAATTTTTCTCTTCCCTGCTTGTTGCGCTAATTGATTCCCTGCGACTGACCACTGACAGCTGCCAACGCCGTTGCCGCCGACTCGCCCGCAAAGAAGACCAAGAAGGTCGACGCCAAACCTGCTCAACCTCCTAAGGAAACTCCCAAGCCGGCTCTCAAGAAGGCCAAGAAGACCGAGGCACCTGTCAAGGCCGAAACTTCGTCGAAACTGAAGGTCAACGGCGAGCCGGCTAGACAGGTCAAGCCCCGTAAGCGTGCCGCCGACTTCCTCAGTGACAACGAGGAGAGTGAGCCAGAGGCAAAGTCTACCGAGGTCAAGGCTAGCAAGGAAAAGCCCAGCACCAAGAAGTCAAAGAAGTCAGATGGGACCGCGGCCGCTGCCACGAAAGGAAAAGCTGCCAAAGCGAACACCAAACCCAAGAAGGTCGAGCCTGTTGTGGAAGAAGATTCTGAGGATGAGGATGAGTCTGCCGCCTCGGATGTGAGCCAGAGTGAGGGTGAAGAGGATGACCGCACAACTGCTCTGATCCGCGGCTTTGAGAGCAGCGGTGACGAGGCCGACTCCGACGACGAGGGCTTCGACCCGAGTAAACCCCTGCCCAAGATCCCCGACTTGAAGAAGGCGCAGCGCAAGGTGAGGAAGCAGCAAGAGAATGCCGGCCAGTCAGAGGGGCCCGGTACGATCTATGTTGGGTGAGTACTAAATACTGCTACTTGTTGTCATCGCACGTCTAACCGCCTTATTCTCAGACGTATTCCCCACGGTTTCTACGAACACCAGATGCGTGACTACTTCAACCAATTCGGTACTGTCACCCGCCTGCGTCTTTCCCGTAACCGTACCACCGGTCGCTCTAAGCATTACGCTTTCATCGAGTTCGATTCGGAATCCGATGCTAAGGTCGCTGCGGCTACCATGGACAACTACCTCCTGTACAAACACCTCCTGAAATGTAAATTTATTCCACAGGAGCGTCTGCACCCTGAGATCTGGAAGGGCGCCAACAGACGGTTCAAGCGAACCCCGTGGAACAAGATCGAGAAGAGGCGACTTGAGCAGGGCAAGACGAGAGAGCAGTGGTCGGATCGCATCGAAAAGGAGCAGCAAAAACGGGCGGCCAAGGCAGAGCAGCTGAAGAGCATTCTGGGATACGATCTGGAGCTTCCTCAACTGAAGAGCGTCGACGAAGTCCCTGTGCAAGAGCGCAAGGCTATCGAGGCCGACGAGCCAACAGCCGAGGAACCTGCCAAGGCTATTGAGGCTCCTAAAACCGAGGAGGTCGAAGCAGTGAAGGCCGTTGAAGATACCCCTAAGAAGACCAACAAGAAGGAGAAGAAGGCAGCTCAGTCCCCTGCTGTGCAAGAGACCGCCAAGCCATCAACGAAGAAGACTGAAGCCGCAGCCTCACCCGCCACTAAGAAGGCTAAGAAGGCCGGCAAGAAGGTCAAGGCCAAGGCTACCGCTTGATTCTTTCATTCTATCTAAAATCTCATCGTTCTGTTGTTCATCGCATAAAATATCGCTCGGAGTTGATTGATTCAATTGTACATGGTTATTGTATTATTCGCTAGGCATGAATAGAGGAATATCTATAAATTTACTTCACCTCCATGCAAGTCACAAGTGCCTTTCTCAGCATGCAATATAAACTCAGGAGTATTCCAAGGGTCTCAAGCCAGCAGTTTGAAACCGATCTTGTGATTCGCAGTTTCACCTCCGACCAGTTGGCCGCCTGAGGCCACCATGTCCCACCACAGTCACATGACCCACACTAGGCTGGTTACAGCCTAGCCGGGCCCACTGACTAACCTCGCATAAATTTGCAGCTACGGCATTTCTACCATTTGATTTTCTTTTCTCTCTTTCTTTCTTCCAACTCCTCGCTCAAAGAATCGCATTCGAAGCTCACACACAGAGAAATTCCCTCGGGGAATTCTCTTCAACCAGCTTTTGGGAAAGTCCCCGGACACCCTGACTGTTTAAATCGTCCCTCGTGGGCCCAGTCAGGCAATGCGGAAACGCGCCGCCATAGAAGCAATTCGATAGCGGCTTATTGCCCTGTTCCCTCCCAGTGCTCGCATTCGTATCCGACGTCGGAAGAGGTCCTACCCTCTCTCGGTGGAAACAATGGCGGTACGGGCTTGTGCTGGAGAGGGGCTTTGATCTGGGTTGCCTTTCGTCGTGTTTGGATAGTCATGCGATTGCTCACGACCGAACTCCTTTGGGGATTGGTGGTGGGTAACTCAATGGGGCTCATTCTTGAGGCGAGGAGTTCACCTATGCTTTTTTTCATTTTCTCTCCAACGAGTCTGTAGCTTATGGAAAGCGGTGATTACGCAGGATCACAGATGCTCTGTCGAAGGAGTCGGGCTCTTGCACATTTTTTTTTTCTGTTTGTGTGATGATATACCAATCATAGAGTCAAGCCCTGAGATTCCGTACTACGGTATAGGAGTTATTGACGATAAACGATTGTTTTCATATCTGATGAACATTTGATATTCTTGTCGCGTCATTTAGTTAATCCATTTTGGCTTTTTCACTTTCTTACAATAATCACATAAGATCATGAAGATGCACTCGAATTCGAGTCCAATATTTGCCAAATGAGAGAAATAATGAGAGCCATTATCATCACCGTCATTCTATTTTATACAATTGTTCTTTTTGCTCATCCAGTAGTCTCGCTTCAAACAACCCCTTTCTCCCCCGTCGTCTTCGTGTCCTTCATTGCCCTTTCTTCTCCTCGGCACTAGCACCAGCAGGAACAGGCTCCGCCGCTCCGTTATCCGTTTGCAACAGCAATGCCGTAACAATCTCGGCCAGAGTGGTGATCGCCGTGGCACAAACATTACTCCAAACCTGGATGCTCACGGACCCGAAAGGCGCGCGGGGGAACGACAGAATCCAGGCCACGTAGTACGGGACCCAACCCTCCGGCAGCATGAAGACGGGCGTTTTCGAGTACCAGAATTGCAGGAAGAACTTGAGGCCACTTGTACCGACCCAGCGGACGGCTTTCACGCCCCAATCGAAAGATGATTTCTGCGAGGCGAGCTCCTTATCTGAATTGGTTGGTAAAGACATAAATGTGTCAGCTTAAGGGCTTCGCAAATAGCTTGCGGGGGTGCGTGGGTGCGTGCATCACTCCCCTCCATGGCTCTCCTACGACACTGCAGAAGAAGAAGAAGAAGAGGAAGAGGAAGAGGAAGAAAATGGTAGGCGATTTTGCTCGGAGAACGTACTCATGGCTTCATATTCCTCCATCGTTTTGTCGTGTCGTCTTCGTAGCTTGGCCCATTTCGCAAACTCGTCTTGCGAGCTGGTGTTGTTCATGTCCCGTTTCAGTTGGACAACTTCGCGCTTCAGACGGTTCTGCTCGCGGAACTTCCTAGATGTTGGGGTCGGGAGTCTCAGGTAGAGAAGCCATAACTAGACGTAATCATATCATTTTAGGACATATGTTCTCGTATAGGTGGATCGTATTCAAGGGAACCATTTAAGGGTAATTCCCGGGCTCAACGTACTAGGTTGTCAATCGTGGTCGCACCGACGGTGTTCACAAGGTAGATGGCAATGTGAACGAAAAGCACAATCCCCACAAGAGGCAACATGATGGATCGGGTGTTATGGTTGTTGACAATGGAGTAGAGGGGAAGTCTCGGTGGAAAATGGACAGCAAGCCCACAAAACTGCGACCGTGTTGAGTGCGCGTATGCAATGCGGCGCAGATTTCCAACCGGATTCGGGTCGTAAATGATAAGTCAGAGAGATGTAGCCAACAAGGTCCAGAGACACACAGAAGCAGATCGAGAACAAAAGTTGACCCTCAAGCCTGCGGAAGGGAAATCGGAATGACGTTGTCACGTTTCTCAACCCGCCCGTCGGCTGCGGCGTTTCTTCAGTCTCCGGTCCATACACATCGACTCTTCAATCACCCAAGGTACCTACCTAGTACTTTCTGCTGCGTACCGACTGGTGGAAGACTACGGGCTTTCTCTTTCTTTTGATGGCCGCTATGCAGTAGGCTGGATGATGCCCAATGTCCCCTCCTTCAAATCATGAAGCCGCATTTCATGACCTCGCCCGGATCCTTTCAGCTAGATACCAAAACAACGAGGTTCTCGAGATCGAGATACTTCCTCCTGGTCTAGGTCCCCTCCTACAGGATGGTACCTCGGTTGGCATCACCAAGAAGTACCTAGTCCAAGCTTTCGTCACAGCAAGACGCAGTTTCTTCGGCGCTTTGAACGGGAAGTCCCTCGATGGGCTTGGACATGAGAACATTCCCCCCCAACCCGGGCACTGGAATTCCCCTTCGGATGAACTCCTCCTTGTGTCCACAGAGATCATTCTCCTTTTTGACTGCGAGCATTTGACGGCATGCAACTGGCGCAGAAGACGCCTAACTGCTTCTCTCCAACGCCACGATCCCGCTGATTCTGACAATGAGCGTCATCGGTCGCTCATCGATGCTTTGAGCAAGGAACTCTCGTTGACCAAGACCTTCCTCTGCTCTCCATTGCATCGACACACCAAATCCCCGACATTGTGGAATTATCGCTTGTGGCTCCTGGCTCGCTTGATGCGCCTTCAACGGCGGCCCTTGAAGCAGCTGGATGAGCTCTCGCACGAAGTGATCCTAGGGATTTTGAATGACGAGCTGGCCATAGTCCTTCGGGCTGGAGAACTCCACCCTCGGAATTACTACGCCTTTACTTATTTAAGGGAGGTCGTTGGTGCCGCGTCGGGTACAGGTGATGGTGGTCAAGATGCCTCTACGCTACTGGCTGAATCTATGATACAGAAAGCCCTGCAGTGGTGTATAGCCCACCCTGCCGACATATCTGGATGGGCGTTTACTGAGTTCTTACTCGAAAGAATCCCCCAATATGAGATCCGCAGTGACGCAGTGCGTCAGGTGATACAGTTCGCCCTGGATATCGGTTGGGAGGGCGAGAGTCTGTGGATATTTGTGTACTCAGCGTCAATCAACTTAGATGGCGATTGTTTGACTAAGGATGGGCAATGGGCGTCTCAGTGGGATGCGTTGGCGAAACATCCGCTACCAAGAACGAGGTCGAATGGTGGTTGGAAGGTCTGGCTGGATTGGGCCAGGGCTGTCTGGGCTGCTGGCCCAGTGGTCAATTAGGACAATGGTCAGCCGTTCAGATAGAGAGGCGCGGGGTTGTAGGCTCCAACAACGGGTCGTGCGTGCTCTTGGACATGGAGTATGCATACCTCGTCGCATCATACACCTATACATGTGGACCATGAGGATGTTGCATGACTTGTGCGGTAGCCTCTTGAAAACGCTAAATGTGACCAACTTAAATGAAATCCTCGCTAGCTATCATGTCCTCATAACATGCTTCCAAACGAATACTGTTGTCTCCATATCACGTTGAAAAAGCCCGAGGCCGTGCGAAATAGTCGCAAGCGATCTATCATAGCCGTGCGCCTCACAGGCAGACCAACTCATGAATTGTGCACGGACCCGAAGAGTTATAGCCAAAACAGGGTTGTCAAAAAGCATGATCTGGGAAGGATATATAGAGAGGTACTCGGTGCCCGGACTGCGAGGCGACGAAGTGGCGGACAGGCTGGGAGGACAAAACCGGGAGAGTTCTATCGAGGAGAATGGGGGAAGTTTTATTTTTTCTTCGCCGCTGCAAGTGCTTCGGCTGCTCGGCGCTCATCGGCTGTAAAACGAAGTAGAATGCGTCAGTGGGATCGAGTGCAAAGGATCTGGAGGCCGACATTCTCTGTCAGGGGTCGGTTGAAATTATCTTACCTGCTTTCTGCTTGGCCTGCATTTTGGCAGCATCGCTCTCCTTCTTCCGCTGGAACTCCGTACCAGTAAGCTCGTTCTTGGATTTCTAGAAAGAGATTTTGTTAGTTTCAGAGACGATACACTCATGCAGTGGAAAGACGCTCACCTTCTTGGACTGCTCCTTGTTGTTCTTCGCGCGATCGCGATCTCTCTGGTTGCCACGAGTCATGGTGATGATATCGATCGGATGAATTCAAGCCGTGTATCACTTTAAAAGAAAGACAGAAAAGAAAAGAAAGAAAAATGCAGCGGGCTGCCAACAGTACGGTTCTGTTGGTTGGGGTGTCGAAGAAACAGGAGGGTGGCTTTGCCTTGTGGAAGGAAAAGTTTTCCTCTTTTTCAAGTTGTATGGAAGGTTCTCTTTCTCTCTCTCTCTCTGCCTCTCCACGCCCCTCGTTTTACGGAGTTGCTGCGGCCTGCCGGCCGAGCCTCCGCCCCAGTCTTTTTCCCCGGTCTTTTTTGTCCAAGAACACTTCTTTGCCTGGGAAGGACTTGGTGGGTACGGAGTACCTCTGATTACTTCCACCGGATCATCACTTTCGTTCTCTCCAATGCCCTTCTGGTGTGTATCTGTACATAAATATGACAGATGGCTGGGGCACTGCTCCTTGGCGGTCAGACTCGAAGAAGCATGAAAGCTGCAACTACCCATTAATACATCAACCAACTTTGATCATTCATCACACGTGCATAGTAGTGCTCAATTCTATAAAAGGAGGGAACCAGTTAACCTTCCGGAGTGTCTTATTAACAATTTAACAAGTTTCTGCAGGGTGGGCGCTTAATTCATCAACCCCATTCATTGGCTTATACATAGCTCGTTTCAAGACCTCACCTCGAGAGCGCCATCCTATCTGACTGACCATCCAATCCTCCACCGATTAGAAGCGCCATCCTCACCCAAGGGGCTGTCTACAGCCGCACATAACAACATGAAAGCTTTCTTCTCATTCCATATCAGCACCATAAGCGCTGGGGGTCGGACTCCTTTGGACGCCCAAAGCCGCACAAGGAAGGCCCCTCCTCCACGAAGAGCGTGAACAGATCCAATTCATTCGATTAGGCGCCAATTCCCACCCAAATAAGCAAGAAGAAATCCAAATGATTGAGATGAGTGGCTCTGATCTTTCCAAAGGCTTTGTGAGAGTGTTTCAGGGTTCCCCGTCCTTCACCCATTGTGTCTATTATTGTCTTTGTTGCCCTCCTTATGGAAGCCTCATTCAATGGTTGCCCTATACCTGCCTGTCTCAGGGCTGAGCTACCCATAACACCAAGCAGTCACTACCGACACCGTCAGATCTCCAGCCAGAGACTTCTGGCTCTCTTTAACACCCTCGTCGACCTCGTGGTCCTCCTCTCTTTCTTCCAACTGACTCCCATCAGATAATCTCCGGCTGCGGGCCCAGTCTTTATTTCCTTTCTTCCCTTGACTTGGCTTTCTCGTTCAAGTATCTTTTCTTCTCAGTGGTTCCAGTTTCGCTTTTGGAGAAGACTATAACACCCATACATAATTCATGCACACTTGGCTGGCACAGACTTGATCAAGCTTCTCGGCTAGAGCCTGAGATTTATCTTCTTTTCTTGACATTTGACCAGATCATGATGGCCTCACTGCAAGAGTCCTTGGCGGGCCCAGGATATGTGATTCTCAATGCCATTCGCGTCATCAATATAATCGTCTTTCTTGACATCATCGCTGCTAGTGCGGTGATGCTGGTGAAGATCTCGCTGTTGACCAGCTTTTTCTTCTTCGAGGCAGTCTCTCGTGTAGCTACGGCCGGAGTCAGCAGTAAGTACTTGGTCTCGATTCTATTTCCGTTATTGCATTGTTTTTGAACGCAAAGTTGCTAATTTGCACGGTGACCAGTCTTCCTCATCATTTCCGAGCTCCCCATCTTGCGCGCCTACTTTGACCGCAATTGGCCTTTACTAGGGCAGGAGTCGGGCTTCATTACCTTGGCAATCGCAATGCTGGTACTGGGAGTGGGTGTGTTGGGCGACCTCAACACGAAGGCGACAAGTCAGGAGTCACTGGGCATGCCGTTTTGGCGCCTCGTCCTCTCCGCTGGTATATTATCCATGATCATGAGCGTGGTCAACGTGGCTGCGGTAAGCCGACTCCAGTAACCCTGAGTCTGACATAGCTGCTAACAATTCCATACATGATAGAGCTTCGTGTTCTCTGACCGCGACATCGGTGTCAGTGCACGACATGTTCGCCTCTATGGAGCAGTGGCGCCCCAGAAAGTGGTATCGCGAGCTGGAAGCCAACGGTCATTCCAGCTGAGCATGAAGCGGGAGGAATCTCTGCCAACATACAGCCCGCAGAGCTCAGTGCGGAGACACATGTCTCAGCGGAACAGCACTCGCTTTCCACTCAAGATTTCCTCGCCACTTAATCCGATGAATATCAGCGACGCGGCATCGTCCAAATATTCGCGAGACTCGGCTGGAGTCACAATCCCAGACCTTTCGCATCATCCAGCAATGCAAGGGGGACGCATATAGCACACTGCATCGGCTACTAGGTAGGATAACTTGTTGGCAGTAGGAGATCGGTACTTTCTGGTTGAGCGGAGCATACACAATGGCGTTGGTACATGTAGCGGCTAAGAGATATCCAATTCCACTTCATTTTTTTTTCTTCTTATCAGAACCTTAAAGATTTATGTATGCAGTATCGAAGTAGGAAGCCATTATTAATCGCCGTAAGTATAGCACTCAAATATCCTCCGTACCGAACCATGATAGCAAGTAAACTTCGCAGCCCTGCCAGTGTTTATTATTTACACTCTATAGTTAGCGGTCCCTCTTGATTGGCGGATCGCAGGCACTACCGCTTGGCGCCGGCGGGCGATCTGATCGCCTCCAGCCAGGCACTTTCACTTTAAGGCCACCTGGAACACCGCACTGCATCGCATCTGCTTTAAAAGAAAGAGAGCAAGTGATTGTCCGCTCGATGCGACAACAGCCACAGAAGACATCGACAAGATGGTTGAGCTCGGGATCTCGTTTGCAACGTATGTATCACTTCCCTCCCCTTTCATATTGTCAAACAATCCAGTAACCCGAATTCCGGCCACAACAGCATCAAGTCATTCCTCATCTTCTTTGCGCCCATCATAATCCCGCGAGCCATCAATCTGTACCGCAGCCTGCGCGTGTCGATAGCGACCAGGCCCCCTCCTCGCCCCGTGCCGCACGATGCCGCGCGCGCCCTGAACCTCCTCTTCTTCGCCATCACCTTCTTCCTCCTGCTCAGCCTCCCCTTCAGCCCGCGGGCCCCGCCGCCGAGCATCTTCACGCTCACGCACTCGCGCATCAACACCGCGAGCGACGTACTGTTCGCGCGGCTGGCCCGCCTGCGGCCCGCCAACACCCTGACCGCGACCGACCTCCTCCTCAAAGCCCGGCTCACCTCGCTGCCGGCGCGCAAGCTCTACCTCCGCTTCGGCCCGGACGCCCTGGCCCGCTGCCAGTTCTGCTCGCTCGACCACCCGACCACCTACATCCTCTACTACCTGCCGTGGCACGTGCTGCTCCCGCATCTGGGCCACATGGCCCTCCTGGGCGCCGTCACCGCCCGGCCCCTCACGGGCCCGGACGCCAGCCGATGGCGCAACACCTTCACGCTCGCCGGCGGCGCCCTGGCCCTGCTGGACCTGTACCTGGCCTTCGGCTACGACCCCGTGCAGACGGGGCCCGCCGCCGTGCGCGCCGGGGCCGTCACCGTGCCCCCCGCCGCCTATTACCAGCTGGGTCTGCTGCGGCCCCTGGCCCTCGCCGTCGTGGATGGCATCGCCGCCCTGCTGATCTACCTCTCCGCCACCCGCCGGTTCTTCTACGCGCCGCCGTCCCAGGCCGAGCAGGTCGGCCAGCTCGTGTCGACCGCGCTGTCCGCGCTCGGCGGCGCCACCTCCAAGCTGCACGCCCTGAGCGTCACCCGCAACACGGTGGTGCGCGACAGGGTGCTCAAGGATCGCGATGATGCCTACTGGCGGACGGTGGTCGCGCTGGATGTGGACAACCCGGCGGCGCTCCGGGAGGGGGCGCGGCAGGTGGTGAGGGAAGATGCGCCGGGCGCGCCGGCTGCCTCGTCGGCGGCACCAGCCTCGATCTGGGAGGAAGAGGAAGTGGTCCGTGCCATGTCGCGCGCCATGGCTGGGCAGGGCGGGGTGGACCTGGCCAAGTTGGGGATGGACGCTGCAGAGTATGTAAATACCATCACCAAGGGGCTGGATGGTGCGGGTCAGTAGAGGGGGACTGGGTTGCCTTGGTGGGAATTCTTGTGCGTGGTCAAATATGGACAAGTTGGTTCGCCAGAGTTTTTTATGCTCTTTGTTATATTAGATATATTAATCTGTTCCTCATCATGAATTCATCCCCCGTCAGGTGATTCGTCTCTCTGCACTGATTCTGTCATATTCACCTCATGCTAAAAAAAAAAACCCCCCCAGATACTACCGTCCAATTGGCATATCATGACGATGTAGATCCCTTGACCACTCCGGCGCAATCTTATCCCGTTCGTACAGCAACCCACAATTGTGACAGAGCGTCTAGCAATCAATGCAGGTCAGCTGGGGTGCGCAATCAGAGTCAATAGAGTAGATGCATCTGGCTTACCCTTGGGCCCGTCGGTCCGTCTCGTACAGCCCAGACTGCCGTACCCCATACCAAGCAATTCGTGCACCGCCAATTTTGTCGCTCCCTGCCGATTGGGTGTTAGTGATATGGCAACCACAATGGTATCGCAGATGATGAGGATGAGGGAGACGACAGACCATTCCGAAAGTGTTCCACCACCTCCACCGTAGCCTGCACCAGACCCGGTATCGGGTGTGCCTCGACCTCCGGGCGTTCCGCCCCTACCAGCCGGGCTCAGACTCCGGAACCGCCTCTTGCGCTTGCTCCTCTCGCCTCTGCCCAAGGGAGTTTCACTGTCGACATCGAAATAGCCACTTCCTTGTCGAGAAGCCTCTGGGGTGATGCCTGCCGTTGAAGAGAATCTGGCAGTCTCTCGCCGAAGACGTCTTATTTGCCGCTCACGGTCGCCCTCGCGCTTCTCAATTTCCTCCTTGGACAGTGTTTCCACCTTAGGTTCCCAATCATCACCCAGTCCTTCACGGTCATATCGCCAGCCCGCCTCGGCCCCATTAGCCGCTTGGTTGTCAATCTCGTTTCCGTAGCCACCCATGCTACTGATCAGCCCGCCACTTTCACACACTTCTTTCTTCAGCTTGAGTACTGCCTCGTAAATGCCATGGGCAATGGTTCCGACCCATTCTCCACCGAGGCCTAGATCCGCGCAGGTGATCCGAGCGAATTCCTCCGCCATGCCGGGAGGATGCAGGAGTGACCATTCGAATTTGTCGGTGTACAGTTTGTTCTGCAAGTTGATGTTCAGATTGATCATGCATCTGTATGCGTCGTCGGGATTCAATAAACTGTCATTGATCAACGGTTCCTTCGTCACCGTCACCTGGTTGGCTCTGCTGTCGGGGGTAGCGGCGTAGGTTAGAGTGGGTGTAGCAGACACGTCCCTTGATATGGCCGACGGCAAAGCAGCTGGTTTGCTTGGTACGCTTTGAAACAAGGGATGCAGGGCAACACCGGCGTATTCTTCCAATTGTTGGCGTATTTGGTTGCTGATGGCCATCGTCATCGCCTGTGGGTTGGGTAAGTCCATGTCGCGAACAAATCCGATTGCGAATTCTTCGGGGGTGGCGAGAGCTTCATGGAGGTTCCAAAGAAAAGTATCCTTGATTCGGTAGGCTGGTAATGGGTCCTGCTTTCTGTATGCAGGCAGTGTGGTTGTGATTCCAGGATCGAGCATGGTTCGCGGCTGGGGAAACGCTTCGAGAGGTTGATGTGCTGGGACCTCCAAGTCAATTCGAATGGGTATAAGGGTGAGAGGTAGTTGCGCCTGGATCTGTAATTGATCGGCACAGCTGGACGAGGCGCAAGGGGAAGCGTAGAGTTAGCGCTTGCAAAGAAACACATCTTCACAAATCAAACAATAGGGCTAGCTGGGTAACGGAAAGGTGCGAGGTTTGGACATACGCTGGTCGCAACATTCGCTTGATCATCCAGTCACGGAATACCCCTTGAACCTCCACAGGAGCATGTACCTCTTTCCCCAGTTTTTCCGCCAAGGGGACCTTGTCGAAAGTTGAATCCTCTCGTCGGAGACTCCGTAGCCCCGTGGGACGCCGAGGACCTTCACTGTCTTCGAAGTCCTCATCATCAAAGCCGTCTTCTGCATAATTGATGGCCGCAGTTCCTCGCTTGGTTCGCGGCGCCGGACCGGCCTGGCTCGGGGCGATTACGGGAGTAAGTAAGGCGTTTCCATATTGGCGTAGACGTGGAGGATAAGATGTGATATAGCCTCTGAGAGGGGACATGTTGGCCATATAGCTGGTCAAAGACATGTCCCTTTCAGACACTGCAGAAGTCGACTGGCGAACAGATTCACCAATGTTTGAACGCGATGAAGGGAAGAAGCAACTGCTACTGACAACAGTAGGAAATCGTGGATATGGAAAGGAGACCAAGGATCGCAAGTAGAGAGGAATGCGCACCAGCAAGTTGGTTTGCGCGACAAAGTGAACAGATTGAAATCGTTAGAATTGGAATGATGCTAAAGGGCCTCTAGACGGTGATCGCGGTCGACCTCCGCCATTTCTGGTCGTCGCGCTTTGCCGGCAGAGATTCCAGGCCGGCGCTAGTCCTTTTCTAGTCAGCAACATGCACGTGATGATACGTGATGGTACGTGGGGATCCTCAGCAATGATAGGATAGCTCCATCAGTGACGATAGCAGGTCTGTTTGCGCTGACAATAAATAAAATAGAATGAAGTATTTTGTGTTATCAGGTTTAAAGTATGATATGATTTTGAGGGTTTAATCCCTAATGGCCCTGAAGCTCCTTGTAAAAGCCGACATTTTCAGGCTACCTTGTTGAGAATCATTACAGAGGTCTCACAATCAATGCGAAAAACCTACATAAGAAGCGACGGCTCATTTCCCTTGCATACCATGCGGTAGTTGAGAAGACTCAGGATTTCGCGGGAAGTCGCCAACTTCACGCGTGAAAGATCTAACATGCACCAACAACGTGGGGAGACAGATGCGATTTACGGCTGAGGACAATCTCTATAGATGTTTGGGAAAATGTAATAAACAAGAAGGAGAAAAATTACTGCCTCTGGCTACCGGAGCCCAATTACGCTCTGCAACATCGTCAGCGGAGCTCTTGTAGATCCGGGATTTTGCGGGAAAGTCTTACCATTTCCAGTGTCCATACTCGCCGAATCCAGATTTTAACCTCGCCGTCTACCCCTTCGACATCATGTAGCTCAACGCCTTCCCACCAACATCTCCTTGCTGGTTTCCGCCAAAAGAGAAGGAGCTTTTGAGCCATTCCCACCGCGTTGTTATTCTCCAGATCACTTCGAATGTCAGTTCGAAGCTTGGCTAATGCCAAGCTACAAATGACTGCTTTATTAGGCTCCGGGGCACGATGGCCCCATCGATCATCACGATCGAACCCGCTAGACATCATTAGCATACACTGATTTCCTTGGGCATCGAACATGTGGAGAGCTTACCCTGCAGTAAGCATCTCAATCAGATGCTGTTCCGTTGAACCTGCTTCGTCGCTTTTCCTCAAACCAGAGAATATTCCATCCTGCTTCAGCAGAGCTTTCGCGGCCGCGCGCTTGACTTCCATCATCTCTGCATGATCTATGTCAGGGCGAGGAGGTATCGCGTAAAAGTCTAGATCTTCGCGCAAGACAATGATGCCAGCCCGATCTTGAAGCATGTCCCTGGCAGATGCCTGCATGGAATCGGGAGGCACATCCACATCTTGGGAGGTCGAAGGGGAAGGCGAAGAAGACGGAATTGACTGGGCAACCGAGCGGAAGAAATCCAGCATGTACTGTAAAGAAGCCGGATCGTACTGGAGATGACAGTATGAGATATAGGGTCCGAGGGACTGCGGAGCCAGAGTCATGGCCACACATACGCCGGCAGGGAGTCACTTACGTCAACAGGGTAAATGTCACCTTCATGGAAAGTGCCCATATGTCCATCAGGGAGGAGGCCGTTCGGAAACAATGACAGAAGAACAAATTCCGGCAAAGTCAACAACTCATCGCGGGAAAGTGTAAATCGAGTACCTCTTCGGACATGTCAGTGCCAAGGATCAAGATGCTACCTGCTTGCGAAGAAAAGAATCCACGCGCATACCTAAGGTCTAGAGTAATGTGCTCATCGCCACCAATGTCTGTAGATAGCACGAATCAGCCATGAACTGTTTGACCGGGTGCAGAGAACTGATGAATTTGCATACCTCCTAATGTATTGATCGGCGGCCCTCCAGCCTGTTGTACCTGGGTGATGATACTCGACGCGCCTCCTGCTGCAGCCATGACGTACGTGAAAGACTCGAGTGGACTTGATCCTTCGGTATATGGTGGAGGTGGCTCGCCTTCTTCCGCTGCCTTCGCTGAGGAATCTGGTTTGATGTCTCGAGAGAGTGAGGCTTTAACTTCGGCGACTAGCGATGTTGATGGTTCCGGTCTGAGACCCTCGTCGAGTAGGGAATGAACGAGAGCTGGGGTGAGGGTGGAGCCGGACGGTGTGACAGTATCCTTTGCGCGATTGGATTCCGACGCCGCGACGAAAACAAGAGACGAGAAAGGAGGAGGATTGGACGAAAAAAAGCTGGAAGTGGAAGCCTCCGAGCAAGGAGAGTGGGGTGGTGGTGCAGTATAGAAGTCGAAGTCGTCCTCGTCCTGGTCTTCCGTTACGGAGTCCGTCGTTTGATGATGCGGCCGCGCCGTGGGAGGCGAGCCAGAGGAATTCGGTAACCACGACAAGGTGACGAGGTCTGTGGCAGAATCAGGAGGTGAGCGCTCGGCGTCTGTCGTTGTGAAGGTCTTGCCAGTCGTCTACTGGTCGGTCGTCGGTCGTAGGAGACTTAGGTATGTGCAGTGACGATCAGGAGGAGTCTTTTGGGGTGGGTGCCTCGATCTGTATTATTCAGGGTATTGGCACATAACAGTTGAGGCTGGTAGTTAGATTCGACCTTTATGGTTCTATCAGAAAAGGATGCTAGCAGAATCGAGAATAGGGAAATAGCAAAATTAGACGGAGGGGGTATCTGTAGACGGATTACTAGTTTGGGCGGAGGCGACGCTGAGGAGAGTGTGAAGAGAGGGAGTGGAAGAGGGAGAATGAGAGGAGAGGAGAGGAGAGGAGAGGAGAGGAGAGGAAAGGCGGCAGAGAGCGTTTAGGGAGGGAAGGACAGCAGCAAAGCAGCAATAGTAATAATGATAACAGCCCTGAGCGCGCGGGTAACTACCTAGTACTGAGTGACCATCAAGTACTCTAACTCAGGCGGTACTAGTAAGCCAGGGTAGCTACGGAATACCTAGTAACGTAACTTAACCAAAGTATTCAAGGTGATGAAAGTGGTCGCTCGCTAGCCCGTCCCTTGCCCATCCATCCTCTCGCCCCAGCTCCATTCCCATTGCATTTAGTAACTGACCATACGAAATGTGTGTAGTAGTTACTGTACAGTGCCTATGATTAGTTAAGGTATACTTTGCCTTCGCGCGACCGTAACTCTACCTAGAAGCCAAATGGCTTTGTTCAGTCCCTTGTCACATGACCGTCCACTGCAATACCCACCTCACAACAATCTATACTAGAGTTCGAGTAGTTAGTGTATATCTCATCTTTATCTTCAGTACCTTCTCCTCCTCATCTTCAGGGCTGCTTTTCAGGGCTGCTTACTCTAAATAGTAGCTTACTTCTGACTACTACCAAATTAAAGTTAACTTCCCTTTGACCGCTTGGTTTGATATACATAGTATGAAACCTTGCCCGCACATACTCTTCTTACTCGTATGAACTACCTCGCTCGTGCTTACTTGTACCGCAAGCGCTACTTGCCTTGACGGCTTGCCTTGAATACAAACAGCGTGAGTCATCTTTATCGCTTGATTTAGTTGATTTGGCAAATTTTGTACCCGCATATGCTCTGGCCCTGGACACGGGTTGATTATAATTCATCTGATGGCTGAGACCTAGCGTAAAGAATAAATATGCTGCCGAGGCTGTCTGCAGACGGAATGGTTAAACGTCGCGCTCGACGTAACTCTGGATGATACCCTCGAGGGTAGGTTCGTACTCTTTGAGTGTCACCTCCTCTCCGTTGAGGATGGTGTTCGCCTGGACGAAGATCTTGCGAGGAACCTTATTCTTCAACACCACCTCGCGGACTTCCTTGCCCCACCACGCATCAACGGAGGTGATCTCATCATAAAGCTTCTTGCCTGAGTCGAAGTCCGCAGTGCTCTTATACACATGCAACTTCTGCAGGTATTTCTCCACAGCCGGCCGGCCATGTGACAGAATCTTCGACCGATCCAGGTGAATCTCTAGATCTGAAAGATCCGGTTTGCTGTAGGAAAGCTTGACGAAATCGTCACCAGCGTCGAGGAAGGTTCGTAAGATACTGTAGCGGGCCTGCATGTGAGCCTGTCCCCACTTCTGGGTCTTGGGATCCCAAAATTCGAGCGCAACCAAACCGGCGCGAGCCATCGACAAGTAACCCGCGAAGAGAACATCACCAGCATTGTTCGTAAGGTCCACTTGGCCGTCGCCAAACCCGAAGAGCTTGAGAATCTCAAAGTCGCAACTAAGCACCATTGCAACGCATTCTGCACGACACTCCTCATAAGACGAAGAGACAGCCCCGAACACGGAGCCCCAGGTTTGGCCAGGTTTGTACCACGTTGTGACAGGCTTGTTAGTCACGGGACTTACAGGAGGGTTGGAAATGTCGAAATTATATTCTCCAGGAGACGTCTCTTGCAGTAGCTTTCCAGTTCCATGACCAAGCAGCTCATGAATGCCAACCTGAACCTCAAACGCAGCATCACGGTTTTCGCTGTACACTTTGAGGTCTTTATCGGCTATGAATGGGATGGGCTCGTTGGGTGCTTTAGCACTGAGAACATTCCCAAGGGAAACGTTCTTGAATCCAAGGGTTTGCCGAATGTCATCATAATTGGGAAGATTGATTCCAGCGGGGAGGCCAGAGCATTGGAAGCTCAACACCTCAAGAGACGTGAAGTCGGGGCTGAGAAATTTATCCTTCTCAAACTCTTTACACCACGGTAATTTAGGAATCATGGTCTCAGCACTGTCAACCAGCTTACCGAAAGCGCGGGTTCTCTCCAAATTGACCTGTTCGAGTTAGCCAGTGAACCGCCGTGCCATACATCAACAACATGTTGAACAGAAACTCCTACCAGAGCAACGAATCCTTCCCATTCTCCTCTCACCCCATGAGGGTCCCTGTAGGTTTCGACGAAACCCAGATTGGTCTCCAATACTGGCTTCTGGTCCTTTACCCAGATCCGCTGGCTTTCCTTGAATGCCTCGATGGAGCCAGAACCAAATGAGAGAGCGTAGGCATCCAGCATCCGCTTCTGATTATCGTTGGCAGCATGCAGAGAAGCCTGCTTGATACTGTGCGCGACCTTGGCCATCTCCTCTCGATGATCGCCAAAGACGAGGCGAAGCTTGTGGCCCTTCAACTTGCCATCGAGATCGAAGCTATCGACATCGCCCAAATCTCGGTCCCGTGCCGGGGGTGACGAAACACCGGAAGCGATTAGAAGTTCGAAGTCCCCAGACTCTGTTTTCTTCAGTCGCGTATTCTCCAATGGCAAGTCTTTCTGCTCCAAAAAGTCACCGACGGCTGTGATTTCTTCTTTGGTGATTGACGGCGAATCAGGATAATACGTAGTCATATAATTTCCCTCTGCGTAACCCAAGTGCATAAGCGATTGTACATTTGTCTCATAGATGCCACCTCCTGTGCTGTTGGCCCGACTGAAGGCCTCCTTTGTCTTGGGGGAGGCAGAAGCTAAAGCTTGGAAGGCCTCAACGGGCAAACGGGGGATAAACTTAGAGTCGCCAAAGCCCTTATAGTTGCCACAGTTGCCGAGAAACTGCGCGGCATATTCCAGGAAGTAGCGAAGATGCTCATCGCTGACATTGGTTCTCCGAGCAAGATCATTCCAGTCTCCATTGCAGGTCCGATGAAGTTCAACGATGAGGTCATAGATGGGTTCAGACTCTGGAGAAACCTGGCGAAGTGTGATTCGAGTTCCTTCAAAGGCGGCGCTAGAGAGAAGTTGCTCATGTTAGCTTCCCCGAGACGTGACCGCTCAGATAGAGAGTTGACACCGAACCGGCTCATATAATGCGCATATTTACGCAGCGTTGCATCCTTTAGATTATCGAAATGTGTCTTAATTTCTAAGCGGACTACCGAGGGAGGCGAGTCAGCCAGATAATGTTGCTTCACTTTGTCATCCATGTCGAGGGGCGGTGTTGTTGTTGTTGTTGTTGTTGTTGTTGTTGTTGTCGCCGTTGTTGTTACAGAGGTTTCTGCACTACCAAGGGGAATTGTAGAGGACAGGTTGCTGGACCGGGACGAAGAGGACCACCGGACGGGGTGGTAAGGATTGAGGGGTAAGTGCGGTAGTCGGAAGCAGGAGGGGTGGCGGTGGGCCGGCGGAAAGCGCCTCCAGGCGCCTCGAAGAGAGTGCATTCGAAGACTAGAATATTACCTAGGGTGTCTGAGCTTGCTTCCTGCCCCGTCGCAGCTGCTACCGAGTATGGAGAAATCCAGTCACCTCAGCTTGCAAGTCTAAGCTTTCTACGATTGAGGGTGCTTGGCAGAAGTGGAGCTTTGGGCTAATATCTTTGAGAGGTCCACTCTGTTCGGTCAGCGTACCACGTAACTACGTAAAGTACTAGGTACTGCTTAGATATATCTCTATTGAATATACTCGTACATAGTCGTGAGATACCTCAGTAAACCTTGGCCAGCCAATTCTATGAGTGCAAATCATCCGAGAAAAATGTGATATGTACTGGGCAGCAATCTTTTGGATCAGCCATTCCCATACCTCGTAAGCCATGTACAAAACAACCAGAGGCCACATTCTTTTTCTTCGCTGCCAGTTAAAAGTCGTACGTTACAATTATAATCGGGCAGTGGTATGTGGGCCACCTGCATGCATTTGCGGTGCTTGCAATCACACATTGAGTGACTCGGTAAAATATCGAACAATAAAGGTTGGAAGAAGACGAACGGCATTCATGCAACAGCACAGGCCATACATCTCATAGCAAACTCTCATACTTGTCAAGGCCTTGTTTTTGCATTCCATGCGGAGGGACTGAAGCATTGCTGGGGAAAGCAGTGGGTGTGATATTGCCACCGAAAGGGGATCGCACGGGATTCGACGCGCCAGTGGGGTTCGTCAAGGAGCCGACTTGGCCCAGGCCGGCTGGCGGGGGAGGAATTGAGAACGCAGCATAGTTGGGAGCAGATTGCGACCCCTGTCCAGAGATGCCATTATTGACTCTGAGGCCGGACAATGATCCTAAGCCATTGCTCGAAGCCCTCGACCCCGGAAGAGGCTGTTGGGGACTTGAGGAAATCGGTGAGAACCACGATTGAAGGGCGGGAGGAGAAGTGGGCAGCGTAGGAACTGCTGGAGTCGAGGGCGAGTTTGTTCTAGCAGCAGGTTGCAAGGAGGGAAAGGAGCTTAGACTGTAATCAGGTGTGACCGACCGCATGCTGAGATTCGACAGCGTTGGTAGCATGCCTCCTTTGGAAACAGGGCTAGCAACGTTTGGCGACCAAGATGTCCCGGTGGATGAAGTGCTTGGAATGGGAGGTCGTTTCGTTGAGGGCTCTGCAGAGGCGGTGCTCCATAGATCGGTATCTTGACCATCAAGGCTATCAGGGTTTCGTCCCAGGACCAGACGATCAAAGGTGTCTCGTGCATCCGCGCCAGTTTGATTCAAGTCACCTGCGGATTTGGGATATCCCACGGCACTATTCTGAAACTTGGTGCTATCGCCTGCCGATGAAAGTTCCTGCAGCTTCTTTGTCTGTTCACGTTCGATTTTAGAGGAAAGATCTTTGATCAAGCGCATGAAACTGCCGAATTGGCGAAGATCGAGGAGAGGTCCGAGGCTGAAGCTCCATAAGATTGGGAGAAGTTCCAAGGCAAGGAACTCAGTATCTGCCACTGTTCCGACTTGTCGGAACACATTCAGTGCCGCCATCATGACAGCTGGCTCTTTAGTTTTGATGGCCTTCAGTGATGGGACAAGTTTCTCTTGTATTGTGTACTTGTCCAGAATCGATGACTTATTCGACTGCGGTACGCTCTCTGGGCCAACACCGGTGAAGTCATCTCCTAGAGCTTCTTCAGAGTTCACAGTGCCGCCACAGAGAACAGCGAACGCCTCCAAGCAGCGCACTTTAATGGCAAGGCTATTTGTGCGACTGAAGGTTGCAGCGATCGGCGGAAAGACCTCATTCTTGACAGTGCTAAAGTCGAGAACGGGTAGAATGACTGGGAGACATTTGATTGCGCCATCTACCAACGAGTGTGTCGGTGAATCAAGTCCCAGACGGATCAAGGGCAGGATATCTGTTCAAATTAGAATCCGGTCATGTCACATAGTCATTGAAAACATTGACGGATAACTGACCTTCCTTAAACTCCTTCCCGGAGCAATTTTTAGCAACAATGTTCATATTTTCCAGGACCACCATTAACCCAGCATCCTTCTTGGAGTCACGCTCCTGGTGGGCCCCCTTCCCAGCCGGAAAGGTCTCTTTCAACTGAGGTATTACCCTATCGGGGAATATGCGCCGCGCACTGGGGATGCGTTGAAGGATGGCAAAAACATTACCTAAGACAAGAGGAAGAAGCTCACGATCCTTCATCTCATCTAGCAAAGCTCCCAGAACTTTTCTTTCCAATACAGAGACCGGGAACTCGGGTAATACTCGTTGCAAGCCGCGCATGAATTGCGACTTCTCATTCGGGTTCTTTGCTGGTAGAGACTCCAGGAAACGAATTGTTGAAACCAGAATATTGTCGAAGTAGGGGGACTGCTGGAATTCCCGAGCATTTAGTCGCTGAGCTGGCCTTCGAGTTATCAATCTGGGTAATACATGAGCGAGGATGTCTCTTGGGATTGTGCCCGAAGACAAGAAGTTGTTGCCTTGGGAAGGGGTGGTGGATGAAGAGCTAAGAAGCTTCTTGTATGTGTTCACATTTGAGTGTGTCTGCAATGGAGATACATGGGGTGAGTTATAGAGCGCCACAATCACTAGACCAAGTGAGAAAAGGTCGGCGGCGGGGGTAACATTTGAGTCCAACACAAAGTCCGGAGAGGTAAAGTCCATGTTCAACTGGACTGACGCCGGTAAGCGGGGATCTTGATAGAGTACTTCTGACAAGGCAAGCGGTGGAAGCGTCGATCGTGAATCCGATGCAGTTGGAGGGCCAGCAAACCCCAGCCCAGAAATTTTCCAGTCTGATTTAGCATTGATGAAGACGGCTTCAGGATTAAGATTTCCATGAACGAGCCCTGCCGATTCGTGCAGAAACTCGAGACCCTTTGCCACTTGCAACAGACCTTTCTGGATTTCTAACTCATCAAGATCAAGATCTCGTCGCCTCCGCGTTCCGTCAGGATCCTCCACCATGTAACGGCTAGACCCTCCGCGGCGGGCATCAGATGCGGCCCTAGCAGAGCTCTCTTGAGCATCTTTGGCCTGCAGAAGTCCAGCAAGAGAGGCAGTAACCTGTTCAGTGGCAAACATAAGTCCACCGCCACGCGTTTCTTCAAGAGGTTCTAGAACCTGAAGAACAGAGGGATGTCGAAGCCGTGCAAGAGTGCCGGCTTCTCGCTTCAGTCGGTCAACAACATCTTCCTGCAACTTCTTAGTGGAACCACTGGAGCGATTGCCCAGCCCGCTTGAACGGGTCTCGAGAACCTTCTTGTCGAAGATAAAGATCGAAGCTGCTGTGCCTGTGGACTTCTTCTTGCCGTCATGGATCTTCCAGGGTCCTGACACCACGGTTGGGTGGGGAGAGACCTGATAGTTTGATGTTATGTTAGAGCTCAGAGATTTGAGCGCCGATGAGAACATTTTCGCCTATGTCAACCCAGATATATAACCGTTTGCGAGAGGTCAAAACACTATTGACTAGTTCCACTGCATCCAATGCGAAGCTTATGCGGGAGGGCGTATATTCGGGGAATTGAGATATCACAAGTTTGGAAGAGGAATAAAGTGATGACGCAGCAATGAATCGGGAAAGGGGGAAGTATATGGACAGGAACAGAATATTCGTGAACTGAGGTTGAAGAGGTCTCCTCAATTCAAGGGTAGAGTCCAGGTCGCCGTATTGTTGCTTCCAAATTTTCCAATCTCTTTCTCCGCTTCACCTTTCTCTATTCATGTCATGAATGGCATTCCACATGGATAAGTTAGTTATCATTCAGTGTTCGGGCGGCCAGCTGCCCGCCCGAGGCCTCTGTCACGTGCACGCACCAAAGGCCTAGGTTTAGTGGTTGGACTGGGCCCGGGGCCCAGGCAAAAACAACTGGAACTCTCCGAGCTGACCGCCTTCCTAGATCGATTATTGCCTGGTATCTGTGCCGCTCGACGCCGACGTCGGAAGATCGCCTCCAATGACAGCGCGATAGTCAATTCATCCAAGGGCGAACAAGTCACAGAGCTTTAGACCCAGCTGTGATCTGTGATAGCACAATTGGAGCAAACTCGACTTAGAAATTGCGGCCTCGCGTCCCAACCTGTGGTCTGGGCATAAGCCATCTTCAGATACTAATTAGTCCTTTATCTGTGGATCTCCCGGAGTTGTGCCCCAGGTCCGTTGAAAAAGAGTCATCAAGTGCTTTTCTCCGCCTTTTTAAAGCTCCGCAACCGCCAACCCCCAAATTAACCTCAACAGTCTTTGGTGATAGTGCAGCTCAGGGTTGACTGAGTGCTCTCTACTTCATTATCTTCACATTGTTTGCGGATCACGTCACGATGCGATCTTTCCAGGTTGCCCGCCGTCGGGCGTTACTACAGAGCTTCGTTGCCCCTGGCGCCCCCCAAAACTCCGCACTGAGTCAATTATGGAAGAGATGCTTCAGCGCAACACCAACTGCTGCTTCCAGCTTAGCTGGTCTTGATCCTTCCAAGCTTACAGTTACCAAGACGAGCACGCCCAAAGAGTTGACGGCCGCCAAGGACCTTGTCTTCGGAAAGACCTTCACTGGTATGGACATTCGGCATTGGCAATGACCTGACACGGTTCGTCTTCGATTTTCGCTAACGCTCTCTCGCCCTTAGACCATATGCTTTCGATTGAATGGACAGCGGCTGATGGCTGGCACACCCCCCAGATCGTTCCGTACCAGAACCTGAGCCTCGACCCCTCAGCCTGTGTGCTTCACTATGCATTCGAGTGCTTCGAAGGTATGAAGGCATACAAGGACAACAAAGGCCAAATCCGGCTGTTCCGCCCGAACAAGAATATGGCACGTTTGAACAAGTCGTCTTCCAGAATTGCGTTGCCCACCTTCGACGGCGAGGCTCTGACCAAACTGATTGGAGAATTCGTGAAGCTGGACAGCAGATTCATCCCGGAGTATGTGCAATTGCAATTCTTCTTCTGGCAGCTTTCAGTCATGGCTAACCCCTGCTCTTGTAGTGCTCGAGGATACTCGTTATACCTGCGTCCGACGATGATTGGCACTCAAAAGACTCTTGGTGTCGGACCCCCAGGTTCCGCCCTTCTATTCGTGATCGCAAGCCCTGTTGGCCCTTACTACCCCACTGGCTTCAAGGCTATCTCTCTTGAGGCCACCGACTATGCAGTCCGCGCTTGGCCCGGTGGCGTGGGAGACAAGAAGCTAGGTGCGAATTACGCACCTTGTGTTCTGCCTCAACTCGAAGCTGCCTCCCGGGGTTTCCAGCAGAACCTGTGGCTTTTCGGAGAGGAGGAGTATATCACTGAAGTTGGCACGATGAATCTCTTCGTCGCAATGAAGAACAAGGAAACTGGTCAGAAGGAGCTGGTGACTGCACCATTAGACGGGACAATCCTTGAAGGTGTCACTAGAGATTCGGTGTTGGCTCTGGCAAGGGAAAGACTGGTGCCAAAGGGGTGGGCTGTCGCAGAGCGCAAAGTCAGGATGACTGAGCTTGCTGAAGCAGCTCAGGAGGGAAGACTAATTGAGGTCTTCGGAGCCGGAACCGCGGCCATTGTGAGCCCCGTACGAAAGATTAGCTACAAGGGTCAGCTGGTCGACTGCGGTCTGAAGGAAAACGAAGAGGCTGGAGAAATCGCCTTGCAAATGAAGAACTGGATCGAGGGTATTCAGTACGGTGACGAGGAGCATCCGTGGAGGTGAGAATTCTTCTACCGACCTGAACACGGCTTTTGCAGGAGTGCTAACGATTATCACAGCTACGTCCTATAGAGTCAGATTTAAAGATAGGTGTTGATGTGTTCTAAACAATCATTGCATGTGTGGGTGTGTGGGTGTGTGGGTGTGGGTGTGCGCGGTTTATGTCGTCTCCCATAGACGAATCAAAACGTTTGGTTCAAGATCAAGGAGCGTTGTATGGCATATGGTGGTTTTGATGGACCGAAAACACAAATAACAATATGTTCATGGTTAATCTCCGAGCGTTACCTGAGGCTAGAGCAGTTTGAACTCATCTTTTCAGTGCTCCTGAGACTTTGATTCTGGTTCAGACGGAGATTTTACTGTATACCAACTCGTCCAAGACACCGTTCCGGGGCCATATGCACGGCAAGCATCGCCACCGAGCTATCATGTTCAAGTCTAGGCAAACAGACATTGAGAGAAAGCCGATCGGTGACGCTAGGTCTCAGGACATTGAATAAGGCCCACATTGTCATTCCAGCGACCCACCACTGGAAGTTCGAGGCCAGCATATAACGAGGGCAGTAGCATGGAATGTCACCTTATCGAAAGCCGTCCATCGGATAACTTGCAGGCTAACTTATAAATGGAGACTCTCTACATCACAAAGCGAACTTACCTTGAACGGGTTGAGAACTGTTTGCACAGTACGCTTGTCGACTCGTCGCCAACCGACTGAGATTCAGAGCGATATGCGAAGGTTCCAATCTTCTGTAGCATTCTTGGAGCAAACAAACCACGTAGTTGTGTTGTTTTTACCGAAGATCCCGAAGACTCCATCACCGATGAATCGATCTAGCACATGCTAGCGTGCCATCAACTAGGTAAGTAAACTCGTTCATTGACTGACACACTACTCCGTAGAATTTGTAATACGCACGGCTCATAATCAACCCCACCGAGCCGCTCGCTATCCACTTTGAACCCTTTCTTTCACAGTTCAGACCTCGAGGCTCGGAAGGTCGCTGTCCAGATCTGGCTAGTAATTAGTCCGTTAGTTAGTTACTGTAACTAGTCAGGCTCGTAAGTGATTTATAATAATAATAATAATAATCATCATCCCCAACTAAGTTCCAACCCAACGCCTTAAAGCCTGGAGCTCATGTTTATGCGAGCAAGCCAATCAGCACGCTAACATCTTGAGCCCCACCAGGCAACCATTAATTCCTAATTCCCAGCACCTGGCAGGTAGGTAGTATAGCCAGGAGTTACAGTACTGTACTATACGTATGCGTATACGACGGGCATACAGTACCTAGTAACTTACCTTGTGCCTTGGTATGCACCGTATAAACAATCGAATACAATTCTAAGATACCATCTACGCCTCAGAAAGATCACTGTTTCTGGACTGATTTCTTCCTAGCTCTCGACTAGACTCGTCATATCATATGGATGCCTAGTGCCTAGATAAACTAGACAGTTGACTCCATCAAAAGTCAGCACCTAGACAAGATTACCAGGCAACAACGTGCCGGCAGGATCCGTTCCGCGGGCAGTGATTTCACTAGTTGGCCTCCAGTGTCTCAGCTCTTGTAGGCCATGCTGTAATCCACGGTAAACAAACCAGTATTCAACCAACAGCAATACTAATTGATCCTAAATCACCCTAGAAAGCCAGGCAAGGCTGTGTTGCAGTCTACCTCTGCATGCATGAGCCATGTCATGGGTGAAGACCCATGCCCGGTGCTTGTTTTCTGATTGTACGGATATGGACGAGGAGCCGCAACTCTTTTTGTCCACCTCACATCCCGCCCGCTTGACACCGCCCGCTGCCGCCCCCCCCCCCCCCCCCCGGGTCCTGCCATTGGCATGGCTCCACTTCTCCAACTTCAGCTCGGTTCTGACTTGGATCGTTTGGGGGCATGGTTCGGATGAGTCGGTAGATACTCCGCCGTGGGTAGATACGCTATCGGCCTTTAGAATAGCCGTCCTGCCGAGACCATTTCTTTTGGAGTAAAAAGGGGGAGAAATTGAACAAAAGAAAAGTAATAACTAAAAACCAAATGAAAAAAGGTGCCGGGGGGGGGGGGGCAAGCGCGCAATACAACCATACTTTCTGAACGTACTCCATGCCAAAACAACCGGCTGAATTATTGTTGATGACGACTGAAATCATAGATGAAGCTTCTTATAAAGAAGCCACCACTGGTGGCCTTACGCCAGCGGCGGAATGAGGAGAAGAATGAAGGAGAAGATGACTACGTACTGCTCGAGGGTACGGAGTAACTATTGATCAACAAATTACTGACTTGCTGCCAGTCTTTGCGACTGTTCTATACGACGATCGGAGTTCGAGCTTAGATCTACTGTACCTCTTGTACCATGCTGTCATGTAACAATCTAGTGATGTACTGTACAGTATACACTGTATCTTATACAACAAAAATCGGAACAGCATCAGTGGACGTCTTCAAAGACTACCGTTTCTGATTAGCATCATCTCCTTCACAAAGGCGATGTAATACTCCGCACAGTCACAAGCTAATGATGCATGTGCGGTTCAAGAGTCTGAGCCTTAGTGATTATTGTTCAAATCTATTTTCATTTCTTTTTGAGTCATAACTGTGCTACCATGGTACCGAGTGGACTTGGAAGAGTGAGTATTGTAGCACACTTAGATGGAATACGATACTAAGTGATACCTGTTATCACCTAGACCATCGGTCTCTCGGTCAGGCCGAGTCCGACAATTGGTGATGATTCATAGTTCATTATTAATCAATCAATCAGGCCCGTGTCTAAAGGCCTCCGACAACATCAAGCTAAGATTGCAGGTCACCCGCTAGTCAGCTGCCCTGAAACCCTGGGCATGATTCTAAGAAAAATATACCCACCAAGGCAATGCACTTTGTTGAGGCTCTAGCTTCTGCATTAGTCGCCCACGAGTCGAGTGACTAGACGCGTTGGTGATAATCACTGTGGGTGTCGTGGGCCTTTGCGAGCGCTAACTTATCATCCCATAGTACCCATACTGATCCGCCGGGACCCCATAGTAGCTCGTTTCTGTCAACTAAACGTCTCTCCCCACTGCCGGTGGCTTTTTCCGGGGCTCCCCTGTGGTGGCCCTTTTACAAGAGTGCTTACCCATCGATGCCATACCCTGATAGAGGCCGTCGATCCTAACTCATCCTTCTTCAACATAAGTCAGAGTAGGAGAGAGACCTTTATTCCGGGTCTACTGGCGATTGCCCGTTGGCTTGTGCAGCATGGTTTAGGGGGCAGGTTATGGGCCCAATCAGCGAGTCAAGTTATTCCGACTGCGAAATTCATGCGACGCAAAGTGGTTGCGCACGTTTCGGGCCTACCGGCCCATCGACATGTGGTAACATTGAGGCACCACTTCCCTAGACAGGGAGGATTCTAGGACCACGCAGGTGCGGACTAGTGGCCGTCTTTGCTGTGGGGGCTCGTTTGCTTTAGTCCGCGGCGATGGATTCGTATATTCAATCTAGACGGACCTGGTCGGCAGGCTCAGCGAATGCATGGCACCAATCAATTCCGCTAGCGCATGAGTTGTGACATTTACTAAAAGCAGTTGTTTGGGGCACTGATCCGCAAGCATTGCCACATGGTCGAGCGTAATAATAATGTACAGTACCCAAGTAAACTGAATTTTCCAATTTGAATGTGGTCGGGATTTCTAATCATGGGGGCCGTTTTCTGCTGCTATTGCTCGAACCTGGAACTAATAACGGTTAACTAACTTGGACAATGGGGCGGAGGTCCGGGCAGGCTGATGAGGTGGGAAGTCAATTTCCTCCCACCGTAACTGTAGTTCAGCGGTTCAGTACAAACACTCCAACTTGTCATATTGGGGCCGGAAACAGTAACTTAGTGGCCGTACATCACTTTCCTACCTTGGTAAGCAACTCGATCAAACCAAATATCTCCACGGCACATGTGCCGACCTCTGGTTGAGAGATCCTGACTACCACGGTCTAGAATTTGGAAAACACTGAGTGAAGTCATGGCATGGAATGACTAAACCGATCGTCGGGTCCGTGAAGGTCACCCGAGATGTTAGATAGAAATCCACAGGCACTGTTATCTCAATGGGATAGAGATAGAGATCCCAGAGCCAATCTTCACCCGCCGCAAATCATGGTAGGGTAGGTGGAGGTCCGATAAGAATGGCGCCATCACATGGACTCATGGCTAGGTACTGCACGTGGAGTTCCCGAACAGTACATCATTCGACTGGGGTGTTTTGTCTTTGCATTCTTCTTCCCGGTCTTGCGGGGCTCTTGCTCTTAGTCTTTCTCCTAGCTTCTTAGCCAAATAATATTGTCAAGTGCTACGGATGACTCATTATGACTTGTTCATTTTTCGAGCAATAACTAACAAGCCTTGGCCACGGACATTTGCTGTACAGTATGTACATTGCAGTATTAAAGTCGATGAGGAAGAAATTGCACTTGGGTGCTAACGCTCCTCGGTCTTGTTTCAGGCTTGTCTATATGGCTGCAAGGTATTGTATGTACTGTCCAAACTGGATTGACGAGGCTTGGCTTTATGGAGCGCTATAGTGTGTATGTATGCCTATGCATTAGAAGAGCCTTAGGACTGGATAAAGCCTGAAGACTGCTGCACTAAGTCAGTCCGATTCGGCTATAAATATTATATTCGACTTGGCTACCGCACCAGCCGATGCGGTCAGATGCAGTGCAGCAGAGCAACACAGTCTCACATCACTCTATATGTCTTCTAGAAATACCAGAAGCTTCGATGTGGCACCCGCCAAGAGCTGTCCATGGAAGTCCTTCCTGCTTCTTCAGGTTCTAGTAGAAAAGGAAACCCGTCCAGTCGCAAGGCACGCCATGGCATGCAGAGATTACAGTAGTCCTATTTACCCACCATGCATCGACCCATCTTCGTGGTTTGGTAGTGCCACAGTACTCTGTGATTATACGAGCTGTGCCTGCAGCCAATAATTGCTGCGTTTGGCCGGATCTAGCGCAGCTGAACCTATTTCAGGAAGCCCACGGTGCACACTGAGCAAGAAGACGGGCACACTTATACGAGAAGGCGTTGCATGGTCCGAAGGCAGAGGAGGTGTAACAGGGACCTTATTTCTATAGGAGGGAAATAAGGGTGGAATTCTTCACATATGATCTACCAATGCTCAATTATACAGTGTGCTGTACTGTGTGTACTACGTACAGGCTACGGCCAGCATTGAAACTCAAGCAACATCACCGGAGCATTGGCCACGGGTTTTGAGTCAGGCCCGCGATCCTGTAACTGAACAGTCACTCCGCAGATGATCCTTAGCCACTTCAGCCCTACACACTTGTCGAAATCTGGTGGGCTGTGATCAACCTGGCCCAAGGCTCGCGCAATCCCGTTTCAAGCTGGGTGTAAGTCTGCAAGTTATTGAGCCGCAAGTGTACCATAGCATGATCAGCATGAGCAACTGAGGGCCATGAGGCCCGCCCCACTGAGAATAAATGATGATTTGTTGGCTCGCTAAGTGCCATTTGGGGCTGAAAAATGACTCCAGACAATGGTGCGAGATTATTGGTCCCGTTGGACGTGAGAGGATGTTCTTCCCCTCACTTGCCCCCCCCCACCCCTCCAGGGCCTCGTCCCCGGCATGACAGGTTGGAGGCCCAGTAACAAGGACGTAGGCGCTATCTACATTGGGCAGGACTCTGTACTGCTGTGGCCAGGCTAATTGAATAAAATAACTACCTTTAGCTTAGGTACTTCCCTCTCAAAGCATACCTGTCAAGCTTTTACAGAGCGCAATCGCTACGTAACCGCCCCCTGAGGAGGCCCTTGAAGTGTTTGGCTTATTATAGCCAGAGTACAAAGGCAAGTTGGAACCAAGTGTTAAAGCATGCGGTGGTACTGTACAGTACCATATATGGGATGATGGCGGTGCACCTGCATCAAAGGATGGGAAAGGGAAAGCCCTAATCCGATAAGGAGAACGGGGGCCGTTTCTAGCTGCGAGACAGCAAAATAGGCCCGGGAGGGGGTGGAAGGGGGAAACCCACTTAAAAACGAAGTGGGCTGTGCTTATACGCTGAGATATGCCCCTATACAACAGCCATGAGATTCTGCAATGAGAAAATCCCATGGCTCAACCATGGCTCAACTGACATACATTCGAGGATGACTGGCTGCCCTCTTCAAGGGTCAGTGATCGCGACCGAATGAAGCCGATGGAGGAAGCAAGGGAGCATCATTTTCCACACAGCGCGCCTCTTTATCTAGACCAGCCGCTCGGAGATGGTGAGATCTTTATCCTTAGTGTACTGCCAAGATCAAGGGGTGCAACGTGGTCGAAGTCGAGGCCGTGCACTCAAGGCTCGTGTTCATATCTTGTTGCAGTTGGCTCCGGCCTGCGCTCGACAGACAGGCACTATGCTGGCAGTCACTAGAAGGAGTAATAACCCTGAGTCTGGCAGCTGAGAAGTCCCCCGGGGCCTTGTAGTACCTAATAGGTCGTGACCAACTTGGCGCCCTGTTCTGGAAAACGCGGGGCCCTGTCGCGATTGGGCTTGGGGCTTGGGGCTCATCCCTCTTGTGCATCATGCATGGCGGGAAGCCATTTGCAAGGCAAGGAGGCTATGATGCTCCTGATCACTATACATTGGAGCACTAAATGCTAACTAACAAACCTGTGACTACAGCATGTAGACGAATTTGATAAGTGTTTGCTTCTGACATTAGCGCCAGAGAGATCTCAGTGCGGCAGGCGAAACAAGACTGCTGAACCTGGGGCATACCTGGAATCAACAAAGAATCTCGTGCGTTCTAAGCTGTATTAGACCGGCGGAATCTCTGTTCAGCGAAACAAACAGCCATGTGCTCGGGTTATATGAATTCGGTAGCCATTCGACATGTAGAGTCCCTTACGGCAATTGAGGTCAGAGAGCGAAAGAAAAACGTCTTCGTCTGTTCCGCAAAAGTGAAGTTTGGTTTCATTAGAAGATTCCACAGCTAGTATTCTTGCCAGTATAACAGATATCATTGACACGTCCTGATGAAAAACAGGCCTGGCGAGATACCGTGCTGTGGAAGTAGACACCATATCTGAGTGTAAACTTACCGATGATACATACTAATAATACATGGGGTGGGAACCGATCAAATCATTAATATTCCGTACCAAAGTTGCAATTTTTCAGCCCGCCCTCCTTGGGTCCAGATCTTGCACTGTCAAATGTCAACCTTGAAGTCAATCCATGCACGCGAACTGTGGCCGACCTACTGTACTGTACTCATCTCCCTAGTACCTGTTTCATAGCTAAGGGGATCGGTCTATATTGGGGCCATTTCTCTACTGATCCCGGATTTAGTTGGTATGCATGCCATCGTACTGCTTTCCAAGGGCCCTCAGACAGACCCCTTTCGGTAGTTGAAATAGTTTCTTTATAGATCCCCAAGGTAGTCCGTCTCATGCCCCTGTATGTGCTGTACTTAGTATGCGGTAGGTATGCTTGTACATGTACAGCCCTCGATGCGAAGCTTCCCCACAGGCGTAAATGTGCGAGGATTGACATCCAAGGTAACCTAGCGCTTGGCTGTGCAATAGTTGGGCTTTTGCTCCAAGGAACTCGGTTGGTTCGAGTCAAACGCAGAGGTACTGTACCTCTTTGGACAATGCTCGCTAGCACAGCTTTTTCTTTCTTCTTTTCAGTCTTATAGTTCTTCCTTTCCAAGAAACCACAAGCAAAACAAAAAGTCCTTTGAATACCGTACGATAAACGGCTCTTTCAAAAACTGAATATTAGATCATTCATGTCCTTCCGGAGGAACTGCGACAGGCCACTGTCATTTGAAGTCAAGCTGAGGCAAGGTTCCTGAAACCTCATGTCACATTTACAGTACTGTGTACAATACCGTACTTCGTACAGTTTGTACTGTACATAGAAAACAAACGAAGGCAGACTGCGGACCGAGATCGACCAGGCATCGGGGTCATTCCAATTTCCTCCTCCGAAGGAATGCTGCGGCCGATTGCACTAAGTACGGGGAAGACCGTCTCGTGGTTACTGATGATCCACCTCGTAAATGATCGGTATGTGCAGTATGGAACCACATGGGTGAGATTGGTGGACAAACCCGAATTTGGTGTCAGTCTAGCACAGCCTGATAACATGCCTGTAACTCTCTCTGCCCGTCCCTCTCTCTCTCTCTCCTTGAGCCTTCTCGTCTCCCTCCATTCCGGTGGTGTCGGCCATCGGGGGTCCGCTAAAACAGCCTCATGGTCTACGAGTAGGATTGCCGCTAACCCACGCCAGCCATTAGTGACGCAGCCCAGCCCTGCACATCGGTGCATCCATTCGGGTAAGGTTCCTTACCAACACATGGTCGAGCCATGCTTTCATTCCCCCCCTCCCCCTTCGTCTCCCCCCCAGTCACCTTCCCCCCTCTTCCCCCCGTCTTCCACGGGTAATAGGTCTAATGAAGAAAGTATAAAAACCAAATAAATACAAGATAGATTTAGAAGATAATCAAATAAGACCGATCCAGAAAATCCCTCCTCCCCCATCCTCTTTTTCTAAAATGGGAAAAGCAAAAGAATAAAAAAAAAAAAGGGAGAAAAAAAGGGAACCAAAATACAATGAAATTAAAATAAAATAAAAGGATAATAGTCTTAGGAGCACGGACTAACACGGTTATCGCAACGGTTCAATCGAACCGTCACTGACGGACTACTTTCATTCGGACCCGGGGCTTAGCAGGCATAAGCTACAGACCTGTTCGCCAGCTGATCGACCCATGGCTTTATTTTGTTTTAAATACTGATTGCCTCCTGCACATCTCTCTTGATTCCCGAAAGCAAAGGCTGTGAAATTTCTAAGGTTCATCGCTATTACCTGCGCGACTATATAGTTGACCTTATATCCTCTCTCTCCCTTCAGTTTCCTTTGAGAGCAACACCACCACATACTTTGCGCCTGACGTACCGGTAGCTTTATACATCTCTCTTCCCAATGCCCAGCATGCATCGTTCCTCCAACTACTCCTATCCTCAATCCTCCAGCTCGAGAAGTTCATCGAATCATGCTTCCAGCAGCGCCTTCAGTCCCAATGCCAACCCTAATGAAGATTGGACCAAGATCTCCGATCTTGCGGAGAGGCGCCGGATACAGAATCGAATCGCGCAGAGAAACTATCGTAAGTTCCTGATCTTGGCGAGCTGGGGAGAATATTGACTAATCAACCTCGTTTGTCTGTAGGCAAGAAGTTAAAGCGCCGCCTGGAAGATCTAGAGAAGAGAGCGGCGACAGCCTCGACGTCGCCTGAAAGAACTCTCGAGCGATCAGAACCACCGAAGGCGGTACCTACAGCCAAGTCAGGTCGTAGCCGACAGAATCGGGCGTCCAAGTCCAGTCAGAACACCACAAGCCACTCGCCCAGTGAGCGAGGCTCGTCCTACGACGGTTACTCCACTTCGGATGATCGAGGGTCAATGTTTTCTCACCAATGTACCCGTCAGCTTTCGGCATCACCACCCCCAGTATTTTCATACCCATCCTACTCGCATTTGGACCCGTATGGTCACTCGAGCTACGGTCAACCGCCGTCATATCACTCGATTGGAAGCAGCTACCATGATCTGCCCTACCACAACGAATACAATACTCACCTGCCTTCGATCCTTCCCGTCGCCATCTCAGCCCCTGGACCATCGAAAAAGCCTCATTCGTATGCCGACGATGAGATTGTTAGTCCGTTCAGTATGAGTTATGCCTCCATGGCGGGCATTGATCTCTGTCCAACACCACAACACCTACCTGAGACCAATATCCCTGTACATACCCCTCTCTCTACACGACACATGTCGGTACTAGAGCTCCAGGGTTAATGGTGCTAATTCTGTCTCTCAGATGCCACCCTTGTCTTCAGCCCATAGCGATGGTCACTCCTCACCGTCGACCCCAGCAGAGCCTTCGCTGGGGACAGGGCCCCTCACACCCGAGTCGGGTCCGTGCTCTCCCCACATGTATCCTTTCCTATGACTGTGCGACTATAATGTCTTTCTCCTGCTGGGCTTTCTTTATATCCTCTTGCCTACCATTTCTCATGTTTACAAACTATAACGACTGCAATGATGTATTATTGGTATTCGGGCTTCAGGCGGCTCTACAACTTCTGTTTTCAAATATATGGTGTCCCCAGGCCCCTCCTTCCAGAGCCTGCTTGATTGATTGCTTAGAATAGTTCTCGTTGATTTGTCTTTTGTGTGTGTTTTATCCGAAAGACGGAGAGTTCAATCCACATTCTCCGAGGGATGAATGCTCGACTAGGCTTCGAGGGATCAGTCAAAGAGTGTCTCTTTTGTTATGAACCTTGGACGCAGATAGAGGCATGGGGTTAGCGGCGTTCTTGTCCCCAGACGACCCTTAAGGGGTTCATTCGCGAGATTGGACTATTAAGGCTGAGCGCAAATAATGATACAGATCAATTCACTTTACTTCAATTAGGGAGCCTCTTTCCAAGGGGGTAAGTCTGAATCTGAGCGCGAAAGAACAAAGAGACTGTGTGAGGTACTCCGTAGTTTTCTCTAATCCATTCTTTGGGCCGGACCGGTGGAGTAGTGCGCGCAGATGCAATCAGGCTAGTGTACATACGTATATACGTACTGCCTATGCGTTGACTCAACTCCCAGGTCTAATATGATTAGTATACCCTAGTAAGGTAAGTAAATGAAGTAAATAGGTACGTACCGTGGACCACAGCTCGAGGGTGGGGGGTGGGAGGGAGAGGGGTGTGTGGGGTTTGGGTGGAACTCGAAGCCTGGAGCCTTCCGCCAGACACCCACTTGGCTCACATGTATGATTGGCTGGCTCGTCTGCACCCTTCAAGTTCAGGTTCCATTGATTCTTTTCAGCCCCCCCACTGCTTTACCTACCACCTAGTAGGGCACCTATACCATAGGTACTGTTGACTACTCGGTATCTACCGGTACGGAGTACACCCAGTGACCCTCGAAAAGCCTAGAGCCCGCGCTGAGCACTTTACCCTGTTTGGTAAGGCGTGCCTGCCATCAGCGGCTCGTCGGTCGGCCGCCCCGTGCCTTCCATTTTGGGTAAATCATGAGTGCCGCCCGCAGGCGCCCGCGACCTCAGCTCCGGCTCTTCCACTCAAGCTTCCTCTTTGCTTGGGTCACTTTCACCATTTGTTTTGTACATACCCTACCTAAACAGATTGGCTCTCTGAGTTACATGTATCTCAACTCAAGTCGGAAGAGCGTGAAGCAGCAGCAGCAGCAACTCCACTTACTCGGTACAGTACCCATCGAGAGAATCACCCTCAATGGGGCCGAACATTTCGCAACAACCGTGCATGATTGGCCCCCCCCCCTTTCTGTCTTTAGGTTGAGGTCACGGTGATCGCAGGGCCTTCCACTTTTGGGGCCGAGTGGTTTGCCTGGTCTGGATATCTCACCAACCGGAATGCAACCTTTGCAGGGATTTCTTGAATCGAGCTCAACGACTTAGACTCGACCGCCAATCACTGTTGGCCAGTTCCTTTCCATCGATACGGAGACAGCGAGAAGCCTCAAGGCGGCTCTCTCTTGATCACAAAGACTCAAGGACGTTGGAGCCTTGGTGGTGAATCCAAAAGATCCTTAACCCACAAACCTCCACCACTGCAGCCGCTCAGCGCCTGGGCCAGAATCTAGTCCGGGCAACCGTGCCGCTCCCGATGATCCCCTCCCTTCTCCTTTGTTCCCCAGCAAGATCGAAACGGCAATGGTGGGATTTGAACGGGAACCAAAAAAAAAAAGAAATATGACAAGAAAAGCAAAGAAAAAAAAAAGAAACCAACCACCGCTCTGTATGTGTACAACTGACTGATCTTGCTTTTCATTCCATGCCAGGAGGCTCTGCTCAAGTGGCCTAAGTGACGTATGCCACACGACTGCTGGCAGGCTGCTGCTGCGCCTCCACACCCCCTGGCAAGACGTGGTACAAATTATGTTAGCATCGACAGATTTGGGGATTCCAAATCACTTTCTTGCGCATCCTCACCCTCAACAGATGCCAGCTGACTTGCACCCAGGCTAGTTCATGGGTCTCGTCTCAAGTGTGCAGTTTGGATCGTTGTTCGGGTCTGTATCGGCTGAAGACAGTCTGGACAAATAACCCATGATATCTCGTCGTATTCCACGTTAGCCCGGGGCCGTTCGCTTCAGATGGTAATCGTACTCGGAATTAATGCATATCACCGACTCTTAAAATCGGGCTACTCCACGAATCGCACAAGGGTTATTTTTGGTCGCAGTCAAGGCAAATTCTGCTTATGACGATGTCCTCCTTTCTGAAACACGCACAGTTGCTATCCCCGCGACTCTAGACTAGACAGTGCTGAAAATACCAGAGACCGGGCTTTGTTGGGCAACACAATTGCGACGTATTTCACTTCTATCTATGATTTCTATGATATCCACCTATCTCGAGAACATCGCTTTTCTCGTCCCTTTCACCATCGGCTACAGCATAGAGCTTACCTTGATTCCAGGTCCCGGGTTATGGGTCAAGATTCTTTCGATCAGAGGGCAGCCTTGTCACCCCCTTCCTCAGTAGAAGTGGCAGCCTTAGTCCGCTAGATGCGAGCAAGTAAGCCCATCCAAATTCTCGGGACTAAGTCAGGGCCGGTTACATGTGAGAATTCGTCCAGACCAATTTGTCCATACACCCTCCGGTACCCTTTGAGGTAACTCTTTCATCGCGGTATCGTGCAACACACCGTGGAGATACAGCCCAGCGGCACCAACCAGGATAGCCCTCTCTCGGCGCGGCTGAGACTATGATTAAGTCACGAATTATTCCAACGTTGCAACGATCCCAGACACCCCGGCACCGGGTTACATGGAATTTTGGCGATTCAGAGGACAGGAACGCATCCCTGCCTTCGAAAGGGCTCCCCTCACTCGGTCGGAGCTCGTATAGACGAGCAGCCATCGGGTCACGCTAATGTGAGATCCCAGTAGCATTGCGTGCAAATCCATCAAGCATTATGAATGGAAGAAAGACAGAGGAGATCAAGCAGAAAAAGGGGGGGAGAAATAAAAGACGAAAAGATGAAAAGAAATGAAAACAATAAGAACCGACGCGGCTCAACCAAAGGTCTGTCGGTCATAGCCAAGGGCAGATGAACGGTGAAATCCGACCCCGTCTATGCCGCAGACAGTAAGTGAGCGGACCGTGCATCATATCGGCAAGCACATGAAGACGTGAAGATGCCTATAGGATTAGACGGTTGGACGCCTAAGAGGATTATAGAACTGATAGATGTACCCATGCACACAACCAGGCTCATGCCGCCGATTACAATTGAGAATATCACAAATCGGGACCTGAATAAATGATGCTGACCGAGGATTTTCAACGGTGCCAATATCATCGTCCCCATACGCATCATCACTTTAATTCTTCCGATGGCTGAAGATTACGGTCGGTGCAATCAGATGTATGTATCCGAGCCCCCCCCCCCCCGACTGCATTGTTCAGAAGGTTGCCTGTTCTTAATATATGGACCACGTGCGGAGCGGCCCCTCCGCCAGGAGATACGGCCATAGATAGAAATCTGCACTCGTCAGATCTGGTGGTGTACTGTACTCCGTACTCCTCCGTAGAAGCAGGCAGGTTTCGACTCTCCACCCCTCCCAAAGTACAGATGAGTGATTAACCAGTGGTATATATGGTTAAGCTACTTGTGCTGTTTATTTCTCTTCCTATTTGATTTCCCCACGGTATCTCTCTCTCCTTTTTTGGGGGGGGGGGAGTCTTGCCTTGGGTTGTCGGACCTCCAGGTTGGCATGCCGGATACTCTGCAAGGAGCGAAAAGTAAATTAGCCATTGGCGGTTGTCACCTCAGGGCTCAGAGCTACTACTACTACGCTAGTTACCTAGTTAGTTAGTTGTTAGGCGACTATGACTGAGCCTAGAGCGGACTCGGACTTCGCCGAAACGCAAACCGCCCCCCCCTCATTCCCCAATATACTGTACTAACATACCTGCTGTAACTAAGTTGTTACGGAAAGTCCGAATGCCCCCGTGATGCTGGTCCCGGCAGTATCCTCTCGCTTCTGGTTCAGAGGAACACCACTTGAGCGTATACGACTTCCCTCTAGGATCGACAATACTGGGGCTCGGTGAATTTGCTTCTTTCCTGGAATTCAGACACTTCTCCTGCGCAACTACGATTCAATCAATAAGCTAATTGTCCGCAGCGAAAATAATCTTGTGCATGGTGTATTTGTACTGTATTTGTGAACGTGAATCTGTACGCCAAAGACGATAACTTGACTCAACGACGCCTGAATGCAGGTCAACAGGAGGAGCGAAACATAAGGCAACGTGAGACAAGATTACTGAACATGAGTAGATATATGAGCTTTGGGCCGATACGCATGGCAGCGAACGGACTAGGTGGTGTTTGCCGGCAGCGGTTTGACTCCGTTACGGTGCAATTCGAACCTCGCTGGGAGGAGATGATGGTAGACAGACAAGTCGAATGAGGAAAGTGAATTTAGAAAGGCAAAAAGAGAAACAGGAGATAAACTCAATCCTTCAAAAGAGCAAAGGAGTCCAGGAGACATGAGGAGGTTGCGTTCACACAAGTAGCCCAAGAAAAAAAAGAGAGAGAAAAAGTGCGACGTTCTCATCCAAGCATGATCACGAGTACTTCAGCCAGCTTCTGCGCCGTTGATGCTCATCTGATCCGGGTTGTATCGGCGCCTTCGCATTGGGGCTTTCTTCCGTCTGGCGATGGCGGCGTTCTGAGCAGCGGTGCCGTTGCCACTACCCATCTCCATATCGCCATCGTTGTCGGCCTCTCCATGTAGCGCTTCGTACCGAGACATCTCGTCCAGCTCACGGATATCAATCGGTTTCATGCGCAGCCACTTCATGCGCGGGCCTGACCGTGATCTCTCTGAAACGCGGAATCCATAAATTCGTGATTCATAAATGCGGCCCGGGCCGAGACCGGGGCTGAAATTGACCGTGCGCATGCCGTTGATCTCAACGGGCTGGTTAGGAGGGGGCACATCTGGAGACACCTGGTTGTTGATCGAGGAAGATGTCAAGGAGGAAGAACGCGTGGGAGACAGAGCTGATAAGGAATTGTCCATCCGAGATCCGATGTCCAAATCGGGGAAAGTCATAAAAAACAGGCAACCAAAGGTAGTACCGAAGAAGGCGCCATCGACCGAGTGGAAGCGACTGTTGGGAGGTGTGTATAGGTCCTGGCAACTGGGACAGAACAGTTTGACTGTCTCCTGCCCCGGGGTATCTGAGCGACCGACAGGCAAGACCCGGCAACCATTGCAGTACACTCTGGGACAAACACCGAAATGTTGCATCTCGTACTTCTCAAGCATCTGCTGAATGCCAGGCCGCGAAGTGATGTACCGTTGATGAATCAAGCCGTACAATAGCTCGGCAGAACTCTCAATCACACTCAAATCGCTTGCCACCCGTGCATGCCTGCGCTCTCCAGCTCTCCGGTAGCCCGGAGGCTTGTCATCGCCCAGTATCTCATCTTCATCCTCTTCCTCTTCCTCTTCCTCCTCATCCTCGTCGTCTTCCTCCGGCTCCACGTCCAAGATCATTTCCAGCGCCTCCTTGTACATGGGCACTTGCGACTGAAGGCCAGTGAGGTTGAAGTCATCTTCGATGAAATCCTCGGAAACTTCTGCGAAGAACTCATGGCCCATCAAGGAGCAGAAGGAGGAGATCCATGACTCCGGTGCACCTTCCGACGACGACATATCGAACGAGTCCGACGCGGATGATGAGGGCGTTGATTCAGACAGTTGACTCAGATCCAGCCTGTCTAGGCCGTCGGCCAACGCCGAACCTGTCTCTCTCGACACGTTGCCGAGCTAACGGGGGAAACCAGGCTTCCGATATGAATCTCGTTCCGAGACAGAGCGCGGGCTGAAACCTGCACCGGCTATATCGAGTGCCGGGTACAAGTTTAATCGTGGTCCTTGCGGTACTCCCTTAAACAAGAGGGAGAAGATACGAAGCACAGGGTATCAGGTGCTAAGTGGGAATGGATCGTGAAAGGCAAACTGCTGAGATGGTCAATCAGAAACCGTACATCAACTGCCTGGCTGATAAGGCGAGGGGTCATTGGCAATGTGCGGGCCGGCGGATTATTGTGCGATGAGGGATGTCGACGATAATAGTTTGGTGTATTGGGGCATCCACTAACCAGCGAATCACTTAAATGGACACGGAACTTAACAGATCAGGCTCTGAAGCAAAGTTCAAGAGTCACCAAAGGAGTGGCAAGCTAGGGATGAGGCTGGATCAGGCACTCCCAGCTCGGTTCTGGATGGATGGATCGACGGAGGTTGTCGAGGGGCTTCCGAAATTAGATTCGTGGGGCGGTGAGAGGGAACGAGAGATAGAGGCGGGACTTGAATTTCAGCTCATTGAAGGCAAGAGAAGACCAAGACAAAAGCAAGCCCGCTGGTGCCAGCACTCATACTAGCATGAGATCAAGTTTTGTTCCGATATAATATAATGGCAACCGTTGCTCCTTCTCTGGGAAAGCATCTGAGGTGAGCCTTTCATGTACTGCACACACACGATCACGTGATCAGTTTTACACCACCCTCTCGACGACGGATTCTACCGAACAGACGAATTACTATGGATACTATGAATGATCAAGGCCCTAAGTCTGGCATGAAGAACGATTCGGAAAGTTCTCATTCAACGGCGAGGTGATAGCCACAGACAGGCTGTAGCCACATCCTAAATACAGCTCAAACAGCTAAAATAAATCCCGTATAACACGCGACCATTCGCCTTCATCTCCAAGAACACCCGACAACCCTTCCCCGGTGTTTTGGATCTCCCCATCCTGGCCAATAAAGCCATTAAGGCTCTCTGACGCCCCTCCCGAGGTCATGAAATTGCCAAAACCCCCAACCGCCTCGAAAAGATTCGTAAGTTCATGGCTCATCTGCAGCCCATTCAGCGGGCTGTTTCCTAGCTCTCCAGTGCCATTCACCGACCCATACACCGAAAGATCCTCGATCTGGTGACCAGCCAGCCCGGCCATTGCGACAGCCGCGGAAGAATGAGGGTCGTTGGAATTAGTGCCAAAAGGTCGTACAATGACACCCAGCCGTTCGCCTATCTTGCGGAGACCCTTGATTGTCTTCCAGAGTCGCTTGGATACATAAGATTTGGTACTGAAGCCGCTGACCAGCTCAAGAGCCATGTAAAATTCGTCCCGCACTTGCCGGTTGAAGTCATTCGGTGCATGGCATACAGCGAGGAAGAGGACCGCTAAGGCGGCGACTAGAAAGTAGTTGAAAGTGATTTGCTGCGTGCGATAGATGTCGGACGTCCCGTTGAGCCGAGTGAGCACTCGAATCGTGTCTTTTGCAATATCCACCACGGTCTGCGCGTGACCTTTGTCTTCCGCGATGCTCACCGCGGAATGCAGCACCGGCCGGTAAATGAGGATCCGAAGCTGATTCATGCGTAGATATAAGAGAATCCTCAATCTTCGAAGACCTCGGCTAGTTGACTCACCATGGTGATGCTTTGGAACATCAACTGGGTAGAACTTCAGCCCATCCGGAACCTGTTTATACCATTGTAGAATCTGATAGTCCAAATAGCCAATCTCATCGCGTCGTATGTCAGTTGCTCCTTCTGAGCCAAGTCCAGAGTACCATATCTTGGAGCTGATACGATTGTACGATATCATGCACCTAAGATAAAGTAGAGACGCGTCCTAAGGATCGGTTAGCTCTACGAATAACTGATTCGATGATCGAACGACGGCGCTCACCGGCTCGGGCAGATTGGGATCAATGTCTTCATCTTGAATGATGAAGGGCAGCCCAGTACCAAAGCTCCAACGCCTGTCCAAACTATATACCGACCAAAAGGTCTTCACAATGGCAGGCCACTGGTCTTCGTTGGGAAATGATTTTGCCAGCGCATCTCGTCGGTGCAGGCCCATTTCAAGACACATACGCGCTGCAATGCCAACGATACGGTATGCCATGGCATCATCATCCGAATGGAAATGATAGGTTGCCTAGACACACGGTCAACAATCGTATTTTGGTGGTTCCAGAACAGGACATACCATCAAACCATATAGTTGAATAGTCCTAATGTCCAGTGGATCCCAGATTTTAGCTTCAGCAACCGGCTTGACATTTAGGTACAGGCGCCGTGCTAGCTCGCTCTGGCCGCCCCCTTCTATCACCAAAGTGATTGCGAGAATCATCTTCAAAAGAAGCGTGCTATCGTCATGGAGGCCATCTGCACCGGGGAGACCTCTCTGTGCAAAGCCAGTCCGTGTTGCAGCTTCCACAAATGTGTAGAGCAAATTCACTTGTTGCGCTACCTGTTCGATATCTATGAGAGGATACATGATTCCAACTTCCTCCTCGTACACCTGGCAAAGTCGCAGGGCTTCATCCCTCTTAATAACCCATATCGGGTCTTTAGTTGGATGTATTGTGGAAACAAGCTGTCCCACATGCGGAGGTGAACCGGCAGGGGTGGCATGTGCTGTGGTGAGATCATCTGTTATCATCTCCTCAGCTGGCGCAATGCCCATGCTCTGCAAGCTGGAACGTGCGACATCAAAGTTGAAAGCAGAGCTAGTAGGGCCCTGAAAGCGCGGATGCCTCATGCGAGGTTTCGCCAATGGTGCATGCATTGGCGTGAAGACTGATTGGGAGCCATCTCGAGAGAACCCATCGAAGCCCGGTGGGTCTAAAGAAGATCGCTGAGACCGAAGATCCTTTAGGTTAGAAAAAAGACTATTGACTTGATCTTGCAAAGTCTTGATTTGGTCTTTCATCGAACGAAATTCTCTATGTAAGATGTTCGGTGAGCCATGGCGCCTCGGGGGTGTATGTGACGCGGGATCAAGGGAATCATTGCCCAGTCGACTTACTCGGAATCCTTGAGATTGTTGTTGCAGCAGTTCGGGGCATATCGGCCTAGGATAATCACTCAGCTTGTCCCTTGCATCGACGTCATCTCTGAGTTACACAGCCCTCGCGGTGACAACTAACACTCGAGATTAAGGTGTCCGCAGCGTTGGCAAGGTACCTGGCCGTTGCACTTAATCTTGCGCCGTTTGCATTCATTACTAAACACAAAGGAAAGGACCCAGCCTTGTGTCAGCAAATTGGAGTCCCGCAGATGACTGAGGTCTGGGATTTTGTCTCGGTGGATTTTAGAGCCGGAATCATACCATGCGATAGAGATGTAGCGATTCCGCTTGGTGCGAGTATGCGTTCCGTTAGTCTGTTCCGCCTTCCTCTTCGTCGTATCGGCGGCCGGGGCTTCGTTCTGGTCCGCGGAGTCCGTCTGGGGTGGTGCCATATCAGTCTGGGGAGACTCTGAAGCCATTTTAGGTGAGAAACACGATGCGACGATTGCTCGTTGGCGTGGAAGCAAGCAGTGACTGGTGCGGATAGATTCCTTCTCCTCAGCGGATAGGCGCGCGGGGTTTCCGTTTTCCCCAGACGGGTGAACGGTCGGACTGGGTCCCGGTTACGTACGTAGAGTGAGAGAGTGACTCTAAGGCGGTAAGCTTATCACTTCCCAAGTTACGTACTCCATAGAATTGGCCCAATTTGGGGAAGGGAACTGGTACAGGCTCGGGGCGGAAATTTCCCCGACCTTCCAGTCTCCCCCCAACCATGTTGGCCTGAATTTTGAAAACACCACACCAGAATATCTGCCTGCAAGATTGATTTACTATATCTCACCAATCTGGATGAAGGTCCCCCAACGGTCATGTTACAATAACCTCCGGGTATGGAGGAGGCACTTTCACTGCAACCAACCAAGCCAACAGTGCCTCAGCTCTTTCTCCGCGACGGCATCGCAACACCAGTACCGCCCATTGGAATCCCTCGAGGATTTTAAGCTCGAGCACTTTCGCCAGGCATACTTCATCCCTGAACACCCTATAATCCTCCCCCTCCGATATTTTCAGACCCTTCCCGCCTTCGAGAAATGGTTTCGCGACTCGCCGTCCCGATTGAACACCGCCTATCTCAGTCAATATGGCGCGGATGCCCTGGTTCCCTTGGAGCTGACACAGGCTCCTGCTAGAACTAGTACTGGGGCGGGTGAGCATGGCTTTCGGCAGTTCTATGCGCCTCTAAGCCTATTCCTCGAATGGATATCTACTGCGGAATCTCTCGAATCGCACACGATGCGTCTGTACCTGGCGCAGTGCCAGCTCCTTGACTTGCCGCAGGTCCTTCGCGACGATCTCCCCACCCCAGACCTGGTTGCGCAGGTAGGAAAGGGCGATGTCTACGATACAAACATTTGGATCGGATATCCGCCCACGTATACCCCTCTTCACCGCGATCCGAACCCAAATCTGTTTGTCCAGCTGGCCGGACGGAAGGTGGTGCGATTGTTACCACCCTCGGAAGGGCAAAGGGTATTCGGCGCGGTGCGACGCCGACTGGGGAAGAGCGCCGGCCGCGAATCTGCTGCAATTCGGGGAGATGACATGATGCACGGCGAGGAGAGGGTGCTGCTTGAGCAGGCTGTCTGGGATGTTGCAGCTACCGAATCTAGTGGTCCCATCGGATTTCAAGCGCACCTAGAGGCTGGAGACGGTATGTTCATACCTCGAGGATGGTGGCATAGCATCAAGGGACTGGGGGATAGTGTGACTGCTTCGGTAAGATCCCATGCTGTCACGTTCGCCAAAGGGAGTTTACTAATCGTTCACCAGGTCAACTGGTGGTTCAGATAACAAGTGCTGGCAAATGCAGCTATAGTCCGTAGATTGTAAAAAAAAAAAAAAAAAAAAAAAAAAAAAGTAGAATCGAATCATACGTTTCCCCGTCTATAGTATACAACTCTATTATGGGAAAGGGAAAAAGAAAACAAAGGAAAAAGAAAACAAAGAAACAAGGAAAAGTCACCACAAACAGGGGGAAAAGTTTTCGATCTCATTGGAAGCACCTCGAAGCCTGTATTCTCAGTGGTGAAGCTATAGAAGGCAAGTGTCGGTTGTCCCTCACTAAAGTTCTAGAATCCTCTCCTCGCCGCGGTCCCGCCCAAGAGCTCCCTCTCACCACCTTATTCCACCTCACAAGATAAAAAAATCCCTTTATTTTCTGTCTGTCACACGTCACTCGATTCCCTTTTCTCTCTCTCTCTCTCCTGCACCCTACTAAAGCTACAGCTTAGGTAACTGACATATAATGCACATGTCTGGCCCTGTGACCCGTGCCTCTCTCCTCAACATTCTCCTCAACCCACTTCTTACCACATCCACACCCACCCGCGCATTGGCGATCAGTACGCCACGATTCCAATTCCATCTCCCTAGTCATCCGCATTGCTTCGCTACTCATCTTTACCGTCACCATAACACTAGTTTCTGCTCAACGATGTCGACGGCCACTTCCTCGGAGCCTCAGACTACGGGCACCGCCACCCTCTCTGAAAATCAGGAGCGGAAAGAATACCTGGCTCTTCCGGATGCAAATAGTGTCGACTCTGCGACGCGACAGCTCGACGTCAGTGGTGATGGGTCATCCGTGAAGCTGGACCATCTAGGCCCGTTGGTCGTCAACCAGGATGGAACACTATCGAGAATCTCCAACTGGGAGCAAATGACCGAGATCGAGCGGACAAATACATTGAGAGTCTTGGGCAAGCGGAACAAATTGAGGATTGATGCTATCAAAAAGGAACAGAACCAGGGACAGGAAAACTAGGTAGTCTCACAACTGGCACCGAAAAGAGACAATTCGGTCGCGCCGGCTGCTGGAGGGCGATTCTGCGAATCGTAATGTCTTGTGCTGTTGTTATATGCCTTCTACACCGGTTGAATAATTTACAGGGACGCATTGCCGGACCGCGCGTCACATTCACAACTAGATCTTGATCATATATCTCCCGCCTGGAGCAATAGAACACATCATCTTTGCCACCTCTCTTTAGTCCAACGATGCAAATTAGATCAGCCGAACAGCCAATCACCAAATCGTGAAAAAGGATTACTGTGTCTTGTCAGTTCACATGAATCGTCATGGCAGAAATGCATAATCGTGGGGGGTTGAGGGCTTACCGCGAAGGTACTTCAACATAGCTCTTCGTATACTCATCTATATCATCCACACCAGTCATTATATCAACCTCTTCGGGCTTCCAAAGCTTTGTCCGGCAAAATAATTTATAGCCGACATAAATGATCGGAAACACCGCGATCATCGTGTACGAAAACAAGAATGTCGGTACGTCCCAGTTACCGGGCAGGAATACTGTGTATCCTCCGACGAAGGTCATGACGAATGTGGAAACCAAAGCTATGTAGGCGACATAAGGTTGGCCCCAACTCCGGTAGGGTAGAGTCTGCCGGGCCACGCCCTGTACGATCAGAGCTTTTCTAAATCTAGTGTATGTGAAGGTGATGACTGAGAAATTGATGAGTTGGGAGGCTGTCATCTGTCACTCTGGTCAACATTCGAGCTAATGGCACGTTCTGCGAGGGGACCCTACCAGACTAACAAACCAGTTAAGTACGACTGCTGAGCCATTGGAAACCTGTAAGAACGCAAGGAGAGAGATAAGAAGCACGACCAGCACGCAGTAGATCGGTATACCCTTCTTGGTGCACTTGGTGAGGATACGTGGCGCCTTGCCATCAAGCGCAAGCCCGTAAAGGCTACGGCTGGCACAGTAAACATAGCTGTTACCCGCGCTGAACGAAGCAAGGAGAATCATGGCATTGACGATGTGTGGCAGCACAGGGATTTGCAACCGATCCATTGCAATCACATAAGGCGATGACGCAGCGCCGGGCAAATCTTGTTCAAACGCAGCCGCCATTTCGGGGTCGTTATAAGGAACCAAAATGCCGATGCAAAGCACCCCCAAAACAAAGAATGCCGTGAGCCGAAGAAATATGCCGTTGTAAGCCTTCGGTAGAACTCCACGAGGATTGACTGCCTCCCCGGCAGCCATTGAGACGTAATCTGGTCCGGCGATGGTGAAGCTGGCCTGAATGAAACAAGCCAAGAACCCAAGCCATCGCCCAAGATCGCCAGGTTTGTAATATTCTGCGAAGGCTCCAGGATTCTTCCAGTACCGGAAGCCGAACCGGTCGCCGAGAGGATTGCCTCCAACCATCACAATAAATGTGAAGAATATCAACCCCACGCTGAGTAAGACTTTGCTGAGAGAAAGCCAGAACTCAGACTCGCCATACCATTCGACGGCAAAGAGATTCAAAAGACTAAAGAGTCAACAGGTTCAGATCTGGTTAGAAAACTGCGGTCCAACGGTCCATCAAGGAGAGGCCACGCACACGTAGAGTGCCAGTACAATGATAACAATCCCGGCAACTGGGACTACATCACTCCAGTAGTTGATGATCATATTACATGCCGTAACTTCGAACGGAACCATAACGGCTTCGAATATGAAGAAGTTGTAACCAGCAGCCACGCCGAAGGCTTCGTCGACATATCGACCAGCGAATCTAATGAAAGGTGATGAGATGGGCAAGTAGGTAACCATTTCTGCCAGGCCTAGCACAAGAACTTGTTCAGCGACGGTCATACCAGGTCAAACGGATACAGGGTGCCTAGGGACTGATGATCGGCAGAAACGCAGGCGTATTCATGCTTTCAAATGTTCTCAATCTCGAAATAGCGCAAGGCTCGAGGTGCATTTGTTGGCAGAGAGGTAGAACCGGAAAAAATGATTTCGGACCGCGAGGGGAGAAGCCAACAGGATTGAACAATAGGGCCTCTTACAGACTGTTATACAGAGGATGACTAGGGACCTATTCCAAGAGCATATAAGATTTGGCATTCCACGTACGGTGAGAAGAGGTATTTGATCACAAAGGCCATATGCAAAGCCGTGCTATTTCACAGCCAGATCAAATATGTGTAGCAGTCATATCCTACTTAAGTTTCCACGGGGGTTGTAAAGACAGCTCGTTCAAGTTGACCAGCAGGTCTCAATGCGTCATCCAACCAGTGGATGCATTGGCCGATTTGCAGTGATAGTTGACTCACTCATTGAGGCAAGCTCTCTGGGACAATATTTGCCGGTTTGAGATGGAAGAGGGTAACAGTAGGGGAGGGGAGGAAGGGTAGTATGAAGACAAATCGGGAGCAGTATTGGGAAACTAACCAGATCAAAAAGGCCAGGAACAGGCTGCCAGGGCCACCATGCATCAAGCCTTTACCAATCTGCACATATAGTGCTGTGCCAATTGTACCGCCGATGCCAATAAGTTGTATGTGCCTGGGCTTAAGCTTGCGATGTGTATGGTCGGAGGCGAATGCGTTTGAACAGACAGCGGACTCTTCACTACCATTGACAACCCCACCCTTTTCATGGGGTTCTTGGTGACTGGCAGCATGTTTGCTATCAGGACAATCTATCGTCGGGGATCGCCCCTCATGGATAACAGTTGCAATAGTCATCTGCGAAGTGTGTATATGGCCTTAACCCAGAACTGCAATTCTGGTTCACTCGGAAGGGCGAAGACCAAGGATCGACAGAAGGCAGAGCGCGCTGCATGAAAAACAATGCAGAAAGAAACTCCGGAGAGAAGACCAAAGGCTAAGAGAGCAGCGGACGAAAGGAGGCCGTCGTATATGTAGCAAGCCACTAGAAGCGGGCGTGAGACGGTATCATGATCGTATTCACCATGATTTATTACAGTTGCCTGCTGAAATGGCTGGCCTACCTCGGCAGGTATGTCAAGAGACACGCAAGAAAGCAAATCATAGAGCAAGAAGGATATCTCCAGCACGGTCGACTCCATTTTGGCTCCCCACAATGGCGGGCAGATAATAAGGCCCTTACTTCTTCTAGCCTGGAGATGGACAACAGACTAGCGCGGAGGGACCAAAGGGAGGGCTCAGAAAACCCCACAGCAACATTCCTTAACCCATGAGGCTTCCATCAATTATATGTAACCAACAAATGTCAGCCACAGGATTTCTAATGCCAGCCTCCGAGATGATGATGGCTCCAGGATTGCATCAAAGGAAAGGAGGAGAGGGTAGGTAGGTCATTGTCAAATTGGTATGATCTGGTGGGGTGCGAGAAGTGTGCGGGAACTTGTTGGAGAGAGAAAGATGGGGTGGGGGACGCCAGTTTACAACAATTTCAAGTCACGGAGCACGGAGAACAATACGTAGCCTAGACTTTTTACTGTCTGTTGTAAATAATGATTACAGAACCGAGACATACGGTCAGGACATAACGCTTACTGCCCGAGGCGCCCATTTGCTGCGATCACATGACGACGATGTGCTGTATGTACTGTACATACTGTACGGAGTAGTACGGTCTTCAAGGTTCATTCCAACTGTGCTACTTGCAGAGAACATCTCCTCTATCGAGGCCTGGAGAGGAGAGGAAACATGGTAAATTTGACAACTCGATGGCCTCAGTAAAGCACCCAGCAGAAAATTGGCCAGCCAGGAAAAACAAATGCAGTAGAATCTCCAAAGAGCGCCATTGTTACGTCCAAACCAGATCTGCTTCGGTGGAGTTCAGAGGAGAGAGAGAGAGAGAGAGAGAGAGAGAGAGAGGCAGGTTGTAAGTCCTCATGAACCCAATCCAGTGTCTAGTGGGATCGCGCTGTCGTTTCGGTTTCTGCAGTCGACGGACGACTTCGGCCTTGGACAGGGGGCTTCTGCCCCAGCCAACTTGGAGGAAAGAAGCCATCATTATCTTCAAAATATAGGTGATGCGATAAGTCTGGCTCCAGAGGGCTCTGCTGGCGAGGTTGTGAGTGGGTAGCCTCACCGACTTCGGGCCTCTCTGTCGGGAGAGGTACGGACTCAAACTTCCCCGGCTGATCGAAGTGACTTGGGGACATTGTTTGAGCAACAGTGATAATTGAAGTTGGAGAAAATAATGCGATGATAACAAATCAGCGGATCTGAAGATTTATGAGAATTCTAAGAGGTAGGTGGATGTTCGTCATTGGGAAATGCACAGTATCCGGATGAATACAGTTGTTGGCCAGCATTCCTTACGTCAGATGCCCAAAGTAGTAGTATTATGCAAAGTTGGTACTCGAAGTACTGTGTGCCCTCCAAGTACAGTACAGTAGTACATGCAACCTCAATCTTTATATAGATTGAAAGACGGTGGAAGAAAAAAGGCTGCTGATCAATGAAACAATAACCTTAACCTCCTCAAATTGTTGAGTTATGAGTATGAAAATACTTTCTTGTTTAATGAGAATTAAAAAAAAAAAAAGAGTACCAAGTACTTCAAATGCAGACCAATGGCAGAGAACTGAATTGGAGGTCGCTTTTTCCCAAGTTCCGACCCACGGTTGCACCGGACCGAGCACTTCTTCCCCCGCCTGCCCCGCGTCTTCTCGTGCCGAATCCCACCATCAACTTCTTTCCTTCGTTACATTAACTTGCTTGCTTATAAGATCTGGAATCATACTTAATCACTCACCAGCAAGTTGTATGACCATCAGTGAGACACCATGGTTGAACACGAGCCCGAGCCGAAGCGTTTTTCTCCTAAAATCCCTGTCCAGCTCGACCCTCCCAAATACGATCTGATAACTGTGGAGGAACTATCGAAATGCGACGGTCAGTTGGTTTTATCAAGGGATACATAGATGCACGCTATCTCTGACCGAGTACGACTTCCAGGCACCGATTCAAATCGTCCTACGCTGGTCGCAATCAAGGGAATTGTTTTTGACGTGACTCGCAACGCTGCATACAGCCCGAGCGGGCAATACCACGGTGGGTTTAAATCCGGGCTGCTCGAATGACCCGACTATCTGGTACATGTATATGTTCTCGTTGTACTCATATCTTTGTCCGATTGCAGTGTTCGCCGGGAAGGATCCCTCCCGCGCCCTGGCCTCCTCGTCGCTCAAGCCTGAGGATTGCCGACCTGACTGGTACGATCTCGAGGATAAAGAGAAGACGGTACTCGATGAATGGTTCACGTTCTTTAGCAAACGGTACAATATTGTTGGGAAAGTGCAAGGCGCCACCAACTATTGACAGAAGTGAATAAGGCATTTGCGGTACTTCCTTGATTAGCCAGCGCTCCTCTGTCATAAGCGCGCCAAATATGCCTAAGGACTGGCATCTGGTGCCTTGATATGTTGTTGTGATACCTAGCATCTTAGTCTATCTATATCTAAGTAATATCCCAACTGATCTCTGCGGATTGCCAGTATAAGTATGCACAATGACCATTAGCTATCTAGGTGACCCTTTTGAACTTTTAGATGTACCCGTGTCTAGGCCTTCCCTTTCCGAGTTCTCCGTTGCATTCTCTTCTTTGAAATGATCCGGTTTCGCTTTGCGATCTTGTTTTGTTCCTCCGCATCTTCACCAGCATCGTTCTTGTCGCTGCTGTTATCAGAACGCTTTCGCTTCTGTCCCGACTGGGAGCTCTTATCCTGCGCACCACGTTTCGAGGCACCATCGCCTGGTTCTTGCTCCTTCTTGAAACTGCGTGCCTTAGACTGCTGCTCATTGCGACGCTTAACGACATTGGCGTTCTCGATGGCGAATTCAACGACGAGCCGTTTTTTCTTGTCCTGGGTATCAGGGGTTGCGGATTTGGGAGGCTCGACAGCATGACCATTGAGCCATCTTAAACCCATGAGAGCATGGCGATGGGTGTAGTACTCGACGAAGCCGTAACCTCTACTCCGGCCTGCTCCGCTTTCCTCTTTAACCTTACTTCCATCGCGACTCTCATAGACAATCTTGGCTTGCCTGACGACTCCCACGCCCTTCTTCTTCCGCTGCTGCTCTGCTTCGCGCATGACATCAGCAGCCCGGTCCAGCTCTTCCTTCGACAAGGGTTGGCGCACGCCGCTTTTCATGTCCTGGGCGAAACCAACAACGGCCTGCCTAGCCAGCTGCTTAAGATCCTTCGACGTGATATGGCGGGGAATATTGCGAATGGACAAACGCGTAAGACTGAGGTGAAGGCTCGGGTTCTTCTTGATGAAGTTTTGTCGTTGTTTGTAGCTGTCCTCTCTCATCTTAATTTCAGAAGGTGAGAGTTTCTTGTAGAGAGAGGAATTGGGTGCGATAGTACCCTCCTGAAGAAGGTAAAGACGACGTTTGTCAGTATCGCGAACAAGGCGACGAGAAACACCCTCTTCCTCGAGTTCGGTGGCACGAGACTTGCTCACCGCACGAGCGATCTGAAGCACACGGCCATCCAAGGTGTAACGCCCACTGGGATCAGCGTTCTCATTTTGTAGAACGGACTGCTTGTATGACGTGGATGCTTTCTTGCCTTTGTCTTTGTCTGCGGCAAGGGAATCTTGCTGTTTGGGGGCATCGCGCACACATGATACTGCATCGTCCACTTTCCAAAAGCAAACAAACCCGGTCCCACGAGGACGCTCAGTTTCTCGGTCAACGACAATTCGTGCATAGCGAAGGGGGCCAAATTGGGTGAAATGCTCATAGAGCATCTCATCGTCACACGTGAAAGGCAGATTCCTGATGAAGATAGTCGATGCATCTCTTTCATCTTGTTTTGCCTCCTGCTCATCGATGCCTTCACCTTCCAACTCTTCCTCATCAAGATCGTCTTCGCTTTCGAGATCCTCGTCCTCGTCGGCGGAAAGAGCGTCCTCGACAACATCAGAGTCAGCCTCTGCCGCTTCCTCGTCTTCATCCGCCATCTTAGTATCTTTTGGCTCCTCATTTTGCTCATCACTTTCCGCGCTATCTTGCTCTTTTTGCAGATTCTCCCAAACATTTTTTTCCACTGCCCAATCAACAGCCAGTGTCCGCCCGTCTACCTCCTTGCCATTGACGCCCTCTAGCGCCTTCTCTGCGTTCTTCTTTCCCCTCAGCACCACGAAGCCGAAACCGGCCAGCTGGTTTCCCTTTTTGGGGAGATAGGCTTGCTTGACCTTTCCATAACTCCGGAAGAGCACTGCCAAATCGTTGGGTTCCTTAATGCTCCACGGAAGGTTTCGGACGATCAATCTGGGTGGCACAGCAGCCGCTCTTTGTTGTTCTCTTTGCTTCTTGAGCTCAAGAGCTTCGGTAGATGGTTTAGATTTGCCAAGGTTCTCGTCGACAACACGATGGCGCGGTTGCGCATACTCGACCTTGATTTTCTTCCCTGCGAAGACAGTTCCATTGAGTTCCTCCAGGGCAGCCTTCGCATCTTCGACATCAGCAAAAGTCACGAAGCCGTAGCCCTTCGATTGCTTTGTCTCTGGGTCAGTGACGACGATGGCATGCTTGATCACGTAGGATTGTGAGAAATGTTCTGCGAGGCTCTCGGTGGTCGCTGAGGCGGGAAGCGATCGAATGAACAACTCCCTGCGAGGTTGGTTCGAGGACGGCTGGGCTGTTGCCTGGTTCTGCGTATCAGCAACGGCCACAGATTTATTTTGGCTAACTTGTCCCTCGACGGGGCTCTCGTTGCGAGAATCGTCAGTGTTGGCCATGGTTGGTGTATGAATGACTTTTTTTCGTAGGAAAATCCGCGGCAGAAAAATCCCAGCAAGGACAAAAGTCTCGAGGCAAAAGCGGGTCTCAGGGCGGTGAGGAAGAAGATTAGATAGATACGACGCGCTCGAATCAGAGACCAGTAATTTCCCGGATCCATCTCGTCTTGTCGGGCTTAGGTGTACTACATGCCTAGTATGCCAGTGCGACCAAGCACGACAGGAGGGGGAGGGGAGCTTATATTGATACTTAGAGGTATGATATCGGTAGAACAACTGAAGATATCGAAAAGCTTTTCCCGCAGGTTACGGACAAGTTCTGGATTGAGTTGCGGCATGTCTAAGGAGCGGCTCGAACTCTCGACGTCTGGGAGTAGGAAATTCATGACGCACCCAGGTTGCACGTGAGGGCATACCGGTCGGAAGGCCAGCCAACAGCGAGAAGCGCAGCTTCTCAAGCTCAATCAAGTCCAACTTGAGCTCCGATCCGTTTCTCAGACTGTGGCTTCTTTCTCTTCCAGTGTTGAGCGGAGGCTTGTGAAGCAGTGAATACATTGTGCTCATATTGCTCTCTAGAGAGAAGATGGGAAGCGAATCCAATGGCAGAGGCGAGCGATCACAGTCCAGCGCACCTCCCACGGTCTCGACATCAGGCCAAGCGTTCAATCCACCTAGAATCCAACAGCCTAAGCCACAGGCACTGCCCAATAGATCCGGTCCCTCCGCTATACTTGTCTCTACACGACAGAAAGGAAACCCGATCTTGAACCATATCAAGATCGTACCTTGGGAATATGCGGATATTCCGGCCGACTACGTGATCGGCAACACTACCTGCGCGCTGTTCTTGTCGCTCAAGTACCACCGCCTACATCCTGAATACATCTACTCGCGCATACGGCAGCTAGCAGGGAAGTATCTACTGCGCATTGTCTTAGTGATGGTGGATATAGCAAATCATGAAGATAGCCTTCGGGAACTGTCTAAGACGTCCCTCATCAATAACCTTACATTGATGCTGTGCTGGTCTGCACCCGAAGCTGCACACTACTTGGAGCTGTATAAGTCATCCGAGAATTCTCAACCTACAGCTATTCGCACGCAGCAGGCCCAATCCTACAAGGAATCACTAGTCGAATTTGTGACTACTCCCCGCAGCATTAATAAGTCGGACACTGCGAGCCTAATCTCCACCTTTGGAAGCCTACAGAACGCGATCAATGCGCCGTCAGAGCAGATAAGCGCGGTCCCTGGATGGGGAGAAAAGAAGGTCAAGCAATGGTATAATACAGTGAGGGAGCCATTTCGAGTGGAGTCGATGAAGAAGGCGAGTGCTCCCAATAGAGATAGAAATCATCGACTGGCAGAGCTGGAGACTGAGACGGCTGGCGCCTCTTCAAGGTCAAATGAGGGTCAGGAGCAATTTGATGAAGAGTTCCTGCTTGCGGAGTCGGAGTGCAGCAAGCCCGGGAGATATGCAGATACTATTGAAGAGCAAAGGTCCCAAGAAGGCGCCCAGTCAGAGGCAATTGACCAAGGCATCATGGTAGCACTGGCAAAGCTTCGTGAGACTGGTGGCTGACGGGACGCTGGGGTTGTGAGTTGATCTAGCATATATTGACCGCCAGATCAATGAATCGAGCCTCTCAGGCCGTCTCGTGTGGGTGAGCCTCAACCGAGGTCATAAGTTGATAGAGAGAGCCGAAATGTTGCGAGCCAACACTTCGAGGACTCCCCTCGATTAGGCAAGGTATGTAAGCTATATTTGAGGTGACACTCAAACCAGTTTTATAGCAAAGTGTCCACGGTACTGTACACCTCCAATACCCAATCCGTGAGAGATGGAATAAAAATACCTAGTGTTAGCATATTAATCATTTCTTTTTCCTTACCGCCTCAGCTCTAGTCAATTCAAAGTCCGCACGAAACATAGACAGAATCTTTCTGAAGGGGAGGTTGTATGTATGCGTGCCTATGCGAGGGATCATGACAGGTTTAGACATCGACTAAATACTCAAAGCAATAGACTTTAGATAGTGGATTATTGAATTAGCCATATGCAGTACAGTGCCAAGATCATGCTCATAACAAGCGACAATCTCTACCAGAGATCAATAGATACTAGATTCATACTTACAGTGGGAGGAAAAGAGTTTGCACCCCCCTGTTTGGCTTACGTAATGCGCTAGCTATCACCGCCTTCTTTATTTTGTCCACCGCACATTCAGCAAAGGAAATAATTGGCTTCTATAAGAGTTCTGCTGGCAGATTTACGGATACACTGTGCCTAAAGAGGCTAGCGGACGAACTATTGCAGGGTGGGGGGTGCAAACTCCTTTCCAGGGACTGTAGGCTTGGGTAGCGGGTGTCGGGGCCTCGGGTGATCCGATCACAGCTGCTACTATGTATGAGACTATGAATAAATAGGCTCGCCGCCCCGTGGGGGAGAGTCTGGGTATTTGGAACAAATCAAGACGGTGGAGACTGTGCTTGTTTCCCTAATACGAGTAAGTCACTGTACATGTGTGAGAACATACGTACGCGTACGTAGTACGCAACCTACACTAACTTACTTGAGGGGGCTCTGCTCCTCCGAACACTGGAACGGAGGAGCTGAGCCTCAATCGAGCCTGCAGCTGTCGGAGAGCCTAATTTCCAGGCCTCCAGTGACAGTGGACCGGCAAATTAGCGGATTCAAAGACTCGGGATTTGTTAGCCTCCTATTTACTTACAGTACTATGTACAGTACAGTACGACGTAAAAGTTACCATACTGTACTGTTCCGGACGAACCCTTATATCTCGATGAGTCATCTACGGTAAGCTGTCACGTGGGGAGCGGTGGGGCCTGGAGCCGAAAGGGGTAATCGGGCTGACAGCGAACATTGGAGTTTGACAGTCCAACGAGTCAACGACATTCTCTTGTTCAAGGCCACAGCCCTATTATTGTTGTTGTTGTTGTTTTTATTATTATTATTATTTTTATTATTATTATTATTTTTATCATTATCATTATTATTGTTATTGTTATCGTGCTAGTGATAGCGATACCAGTCGCGCTGTGAATGTGTCCTTCCGATTGAGCAGAAGTTACCAAGCATTCTCCACTGAGCATAGAGCTGCAGCAAAGACCCTCCAACCCCCCCCATCCAGGTCAAATCATGAGATCATGGGTGAGGAGGGACATCGGCAATCAGGGCAAAATAAGATACTAGAATTTCGACTCCAGAATGTGAATGACTTGGGCCCACCAGCAGCTCGTCAAGTCTTGAGTAGTCATGCGGCGGACCAGACCAGTACTTCCTCCGAAGGCCAGCAATCAAACGGATCGGCCCATCAAGCCGGATCAAGGAACTTCGAGTTTGTGCTAGTGACCGACAATGAATCTCGGCGCCAGGTCCGACGTCATGCTATGCGCCAGTATATGCATCAACGGCGCTTGGACAGTATCGCTCGACTAGGAACGGCTCGCGTACCGGGAGGAGGTTGGTCTACCCGCTCTCCTCTCGACTTCCAGCCCTCAGCTTCGTCCTCTTCAACAGGGGCCGTGAAGGACGATGCTCAAGAGGATCTGACTGTTAAGTCAGAGAAGGCCTCGTCCCCAAGCAGCGATGAGGATAAAAAGACGCCGGAGAAGCCCAAGAGCTCTTCGCGCTTGCTCATTCCGAAATTGCACAAGGTCAAACGCGAAGATGCCTCGTTGCGTCCGGCCACAAAGTCTGGATCATCCAATCCTCTGGTAAGCCCAGGGGAAGGGGCCGTTCGAGACCCCTTCAGCTGCTATCCAATTGCTATTAGCCAGGCGGATCATGAACTGATTCAACACTGTAAGTGGTAAGGCTCGTTCGCATGTCGCTTTAAAACCGCGGTGCAACGCTTGATCTTCACCCGAAATGAAAGCCGATAAGTGCCGGACGGGGGCTAACTTAACCAAGTCGTTGTGACCTATCCATCCATGATGTACAAGTTTGCCGACTCTATCGCGAACAACCCAATGATGGAGATTTTCCGGCAGATAGCGCTCCATGACGGTCTTCCCTTCCAGGCTATGCTTGCCATTGCATCCAAGCACCGTGCCGGTGTTGAGGGAAAGGCGGAGTCTGTGCAGAGCCTGACTCACAAGATGCGAGCACTGAGGTTCATGAACGAGCGTATTCAAGGGGATGCAACTGGGCAGCATGACGGGACTATCTATGCTGTCGCCACAATGGCTGTCATCGAGGTACCGTGGCTTGTCGCACCCCATCGTGCATGCAAATGACTAACAATTTTGGAGAAATGGTCCAAGGATGCATCTATCGAGCGAATGCATTTCCGCGGATTATCGTCGATGATCAGGAATCGAGGCGGAATGCATGGCATGCGACTCACTAGCCCTTTCCTGGAGAAAGTGCTTTACTGGTAAGTTCATACATATGCCCTCCGATGTTAGTCTGGTGCTGACAGGGCATAGGGTGGACTTCAGTTGCGCCCCTAAGGCGATCATCAGTACCTCGCTACCTTGGACAGGGACCGTTCCTGATAAAACTCCTCCTCTCGACTTCTTGGACCCCAATTTACATCTTGCTGTTCCTCATGATGCTACTACCTCAGAGGATGCCGATAGTCTCTGTGCACAATTTAGGGCATGCGAAGATTTCTTGCGGTTCTTTCGTCGCCTTCGCGAATTGGAGGGCTTATGCTTGAACTCTCCTTATGCCGTCGTACCAGAGACCTTTCCTCGCCGAAAAAAGCATTTTCGTCCTGGCACCCAGCTCTACTCAATCTTGACAACGCTGCCGGACTATGACCACGGAATTCGGGACATCCGCTTCATCGACGAATATACCTGCATGTCTTGCCTCTTCTTCCTCACCGTCGCATTATACGACTGCTACCTGAACTCTCATAACCTGGACGAGTATCTCGACTGGCTCAGCCTCGAAGTCCGCAATCTCAATCCTTTCACAAACCCCAGCATTACATCAGTTCTTTGGCTATTTCTCAACAATGGCGGTTATCCCAAGAATAGACCAGGTGACGCTGGAGATCGATGCTGGATTGTCTCGCGGATGGTCCGGATCGCTAAACGACTCGAATGGAAACGCCACGGAACCATTTGGGACCGACTTCGCCAAGTACTGATTGACTTCATCGTCACACAGCAGGAATGCGCGCTGGGTTCGGATGAAATTGACGCCGAAACGCACGTGGCTCGCACGCGGAAGCGACTCAGTTACCAGACTCACTCGACGGACTACTTCTGGAATGAGGTACAAATGCGTGAAGATATTCTCGAACTTAATTTGTCCTCAGTTACCTCCACGTCCACAAGTATTGAAGACAACAATGTACTTGCTTACACGTAAAAATCATTTGCTATTCCTGCTTTTCGTCTTCATGCATAACAACCCCACCTCAAATTATAACACGCGAATATCTTGCTTTGGGGGCTCGCTTTCGGTTTCCATTTAAGCTAATCTTACCTTTCACGACTTATGATGGATGAGACAATGGGACGTTCATGGGCTAGGATGGATACGGATAGACTGGCAATTAATGGATCTCGTATACAAGGAAGTTCGTTCGCTATTGACAAACAAACCATGACGAGCGCTTATATACACAGGGCTTCAGTAGGAGGCAGCCTGCCGGTAAACTCTCTTCCATGTGAAGATGATTCCGTAGGCTGTCGGTAATTCGTAGTCGGCTATCGGCTATCCACCTTTTGCTCAAACTGTTTACACAACATCAATTGATCCAGAAATTACCATTTCAATGTCTAAAGGGTTACGATTATTTGGTGGGGCTACATGCAAAGTAAGACCATCGCTTCTGTCTATGCGACGAGCGAATGCGATGAAGTATCTATCTAATCATAAGTGCAAAAGCAACAATCACAGAAAGCCAGGATGTGTGAGATCGCATCCATCTCGTGCATATCGATCAGGATAACATCACCCTGGGATAAACTCAAAAGAGGAGTAAAGAGCATGTACGGGAATAGGAATAGCAGCCGTCCCACCAGACTGCCGAACGAGATAAGAAGAGTCTTATCGTGATGCAATCTTTTTTTCGTAACATAAAAGAAACGAACCAATCAGACAAGCGGTACATAACACGCAAGGCAAGGCAACATAATATAACCACAATCAACCAAAGTCAATGGTATCGAGCGCGAAGATAGAGATGAATAAGAGGAATAATAAGAATAGAAATCTAATGATGGAGCCTGCCGATGCAAAGGTGAACAGCACTTGGCAGTAGAACTTTTGGGGGTGCATGCCAACCTGTTCCTACCCGAATTTATTCACTTCTTTCATATAATCTGTAATGAGATGATTTTGGCATGTCCGTATCAATATCCGTGATATCGTCATAAAAGAAAGGCGAATAAGAAAAGAAAAGAAGGTAAAGAGCGTGGGCAGATTACGTGGGCTTGTCGCAGCCAATGCGACCTAGAAGCGCCTTGCGATCGCTTTGGTCTCCAAGGCGAACTCGCCGAGGCCGCACAGCCGAGGAACCATTGGCTCGACGCCAGTCAACATTGGAGTTGTCGATCGCATGCGTGGATCCATTGAGGTTATCCTTTTCAGCAAAGTACTCTTCCTCTTCCTCTCCTTCGTCATCGCTGCGAGGTTCCTCAGCATTACCGGTGCGGATGACGCCCACGGCCACGCGAATTACCATGGTGAACCAGATCAGCGACAGCAGCTGCAGTGCCAGAAGGCAGGAAAGAAATATCCATTTGACGGTGCGGTTCATGCAAATCGGTCCGTTCAGATCCTTGAAGGGGGAGACCAGATACGACCATGCGCTCGGGTAGCCATTGGTAGAAATCATCTCCGCAGTTGTACCTGAGTAACATCCGTAAGACATCTTGGCAGGGACGTCCTTGTAAATCGACCAACAGAGTTTTGGGTAGTAAACATGTCGAGTGATCAACCACGTAACCATGAACACAACAAAAGCAATGTTGCAGCTCGTTTCGTACTTCAGATACTTGAGAATCTTGGCCGTCTAATCCAGTGAGTTAGTGAATTTGACTTCGAACGAGGGTGGAAATCTTAGAGAGCATCTTGATCTTACAGGCAGTAGGAGATCGACAATGTCCATGAGCGAGAGCACAACATTGGAGACATTGTAGAAGCCGTAGACGTAAGCCGAACCAAAGAGGGCAATGGTGATTACATGGTGGGTCAGCATCTGGTAGTGATCCTTTCTACGCTCCTCAATATTGATCACCAAAAGCTGCTGTGCCCAAAACGCCAATTGTACCAAGAGATACCATTTCATAAGACCTGAAACATTGCGCGCAGGCCATTGGTCCCAGATTTTGCTGAAATCGCCCCAATGGTCAGAGTTGGACCAGATATACTGTTTTATTGTGTTAGTCAAAACACACGACCAGCAGGCGGACAAACAGGCGCAATCCTGGTGAACGAACCATTCCGAGGGAGCAGATGAAGCCATAATACAGACAAAGCCAGCCCTGTTCAGCCAGACGAAGCGACGCCTTCCGCTTCAGGCCCCAATGCTGCGCAATGGGCCTCAGAACCCAGTCAATGAGAATGGCCCGGATAGCGATGAAGACAAGTGCGGAGCTGGCGACAAAACAAACATCATCCCATCCTTGTACGTAGTCCCCGGAAGCAGGCTGGTAGTAGGAAAGCTGAAAGAACGGCGTGGTGTAGGGGTTGAGGGAAGGGTAGAGGTGATGGACGGCCAATAACATCGCAAGAGTAGTCAAGGTAATCCCTGCGGTGAACGAACGTTAAGGTAAGCAGGACAGTTGACCCCAAAGCGCCAACAATGGCATTGTTAAATTATCATGTATCCATTGGAATGGTCCGTACCGATTTGGTTATGCAACATCCATTCGCGGAACGTGGTTTCTTTGACCGCCGGGCGGTGATGACTGGTAGAAGTGGAAACGCAGGCATTGAGTTCCGAGACCGACTGAGAGACTGGAGATGATACGTCGGTGGCCATGACGGAAGTAGGAGGGAGAGCCTGGAGGGGGTATCTGGCTGAAATTGGAGACCTGACAGCAGAAGCAGCAGTTCTGCAGAAAGGAATGTCCAATTGACGATAGCGCGAGAGGGAAAGTGGGAGGGAAGGTGTAAAGAAGGAGAACTGTCGAGAGCCGGGACGTTCGAGTATGGTAGAGGGAAGGAGAGAGATGGGACTCCAGAAAGGGGGGGAAGAGGTGGGGGGAAAGAGAAAAGCGATGAAGTCTCGGCCGTGAGAGGTTGATTGAGGCGTGTTGAGATGAGGTGAGTTGAGTTCAGATATAAGTTGAGGGAGTACGGTAGAGAGCGAGCCAAAGAGGGAACGGAGGAGTAGCGAGCGGCGGGCGAAAGTGGTTCCCGCCCACTCGAACTTCTGTTATTGTAATCCCACAGGTTCCACGGCGGGAAACTAACTCTTCAGAGAGATTAGGAATTGTTAGGGGATTTCCAATCAATCATTCCAATCAATCAATGATCCATCGATTGTTTAAATCAGATAGGCACCGAGAGGAGAGGGGAAGGGAGGGAGGAGCGGGGAGAGCCTCCTTGATGTTCTCGCCCTTGGTTCTCCCCGTCCGCTGAAAAGCCTAGTTGAGTTATTTTTATTTTGAATCTCCCCAAATGAGTGGAGTGGAGATTCTGGGCGGAATCACACCGGACGGCCTCTGTGTACGAAGTATGTACTCGAGTATATTACTGCTGATGCATCTAACTCTTGTGACGGTTCGAGGCTTTGAACATCACCCAGAACATATGGGAAGTTTTGCGAAGAGCGACGAGAAGGTAGAGGGAAGTGGAAGATTGATGGTGTATCAAGTCGGTTTCAGCTGATTTCGACCCACCCCCGGGAGGACCCCGTTACGTACGTGCTAAGGGATCCCCAACAGTACAGTACGTAGTCTACTTTCAGTGGCACTGGCAATGCTTCTGCCCCTCAGGTACCCCTCAGCTGTCAATATTCGATTCTCAGTACCGCCCTAACTTGGGGAGATCAAAAGCCAGTTGGTGCTCAACTGGGCGGTCACAATAGGCAGAATAGCGATCATGTCATGTGACCGGTCTTGAACCTTCTGTCATTACAATATCCTCTGTCATACAGATTGATACTGCTCTCGAAAGACTCGGAATTTTAGGGGATATATATTTCCAGGAATTCGGCCTCTACTTCAGGCTGCGAGGGCACCAAGATTGCTTTTATCTTTGTGTCCATTCCGTATATGCATGGTAGATTTGATCATCCCGTCCGCTGGTTTGGATCACCGCTTAAGCCGACCCCACCCAATAGCCGCCACCCCAAAGCTCTGCCTGCCCTGCAAAAAAAGATTGTCAAGCTGTTTTGACAAGAAAACATATTCCACAGTAACTGCATTACTAGCCTGAGAAAGGAGAATCCTCCTTCAAGGCAACTACTGAAAGTGCTAATATAGTTATCCCAATTTCTCCGCTCCTCCGCTACTGGCTTTCATTGATTTGGCCGTGATTCCCTTCGTCACAATGGAGGCTGAAATACAGGCACAGATTCCCGGTATCGACCATGTGATCTCCGAATATTCCGTGGCAAGTATCCTGATTCGTATTGTTGAGACAAGTAGTTCGATTGGAACACTATCGCTGACGCATTGCAGGGCTATCTGGCTCATGCTTCTAAAGCCTACGTTGAAGATGCAAATGGGCCGTCGCCGCTGTCCGAAGCTGCCGATATGGTCACGGCGCTTCTGATTTCTGCCTCGGGAGACTTTTCACCTGAGAACGAAAAGGCCATTCGTAACCTCGTGGAAAAATTTATCGCTTCTCTCAGCGCGTCTGATGGAGTGAACGCAGAGCGTAGACAGATGCCCTTCACTGCCAAAAAGCTTGACCAGGCGATCAATGTTGGCTCTCAGAAAAACATCTCCTCGACTTTGGGTCTAGCGGGAGGCAACGTCGACCTAGAGTCTGCGAATGCCAGGAAAGTGGAGTCTCGTGTTGACCGCAAGAAGTTAGAGAAGGCAGAACGAAAGATTCGTGCTAAGCAGGAAAAGAAACAGATGAAGACGGTGCAATACGAATCTTCCCGTCTCTTGAATCAGCCCGACAGCACCATGTCCTACGAGGAATTCTTCATGGCTGTCAACCCTCTTCAACTTGGCTCTGACTCCCAGTCAAAGAGTAAGGATATTAAGGTTGACAGTATTGATATCTCTGTTGGCGGGCATCGTATCTTGACCGACGCTTCATTGGCTTTGGCTTATGGCCGACGCTATGGTCTCGTGGGTCAGAACGGTATCGGAAAGAGTACTCTTCTGCGCGCGTTGAGTCGGCGTGAAGTGGCAATCCCCAGCCATATCTCGATTCTTCATGTTGAACAAGAGGTATGTCTGGTCTCTCGTGCTCGAAACCTCAGAGAAAACCATGGTTTGCTGACTGGATGTCCAGATTACGGGTGATGATACACCTGCGCTTCAAGCAGTTTTGGATGCTGATGTCTGGCGCAAGCGTCTATTGGCCGACCTAGAGGTCAGTTTTCTAGCCTGTTTCGACCTGTCTCACCTGTCTGACTTGCTTCCAGAAAATCACTAAGCAGCTCGCCGAGATCGAAGCAGAGAGATCGTCGATGGCGGACACTTCTAAGGATGCCGCTAGACTTGACCACGAAAGGGAAGGATTGGATATTACCTTGAATGATATTCATGCGAAGCTTGCAGAAATGGAATCGGACAAGGCCGAGTCTCGTGCCGCTAGTATCCTGGCCGGCCTTGGCTTTTCACCCGAGAGGCAGCAGTTTGCAACAAAAACATTCTCGGGTGGTTGGCGGATGAGATTGGCCTTGGCTCGGGCACTTTTCTGCGAGCCTGATCTGCTTTTACTGGACGGTATGATCGAGTGACACTACGGCGGTCATCTCTTGACAGAATGCTAATCGTATGCAGAACCGTCCAACATGTTGGATGTGCCTTCGATTACCTTCTTGTCCAACTATCTACAAACCTATCCTAGCACCATCCTTGTGGTTTCTCACGATCGTGCCTTCTTGAACGAAGTAGCCACGGATATCATGCATCAGCATTCTGAGAGACTCGACTACTACAAGGGAGCCAATTTCGGTAAGTACCTCAAAGTGCTGGGAGAAAAATGTTCAAGCTGATGATATCGCAGATTCATTTTATGCCACCAAGGAAGAGCGGAAGAAGAATGCGAAACGCGAATACGAGAAACAAATGGCCGAACGCGCACATCTGCAAGGTATGTCTCTACCATACAAAAGTTTTGTATTGGAGCTTACTCATCCGAATAGCATTTATCGATAAGTTCCGTTACAACGCCGCCAAGTCGTCTGAGGCGCAATCTAGGATCAAGAAACTCGAAAGAATGCCCATCTTGGAAGCCCCAGAAAGTGATTATGTCGTTCACTTCAAGTTTCCCGATGTCGAGAAGCTTTCCCCTCCTATTGTACAGATGACGGATGTGTCATTTGGTTATTCGAAGGACAGACCGCTTCTTAAAAACATTGACCTCGATGTGCAGCTTGATTCACGTATTGGCATCGTTGGACCTAACGGTGCGGGTAAAACCACTGTGCTCAAGTTGCTAACGGCTCAACTTCAGCCGACGTCTGGTTTCATATCACAACATGCCAGGCTGCGCATCGGATATTTCGCACAGCATCATGTGGATGCCTTGGATTTGACGACCAGTGCCGTGAGTTTCATGGCAAAGACCTACCCAGGAAAGACAGACGAGGAATATCGGAGACACCTTGGAGCGTAAGTGAAAGTCTCCTTCACCTTAACCTTTGTCTTATATCTGTTAACAATTGCCTCTGCCTGATCATAGTTTCGGTATCACTGGAATGACTGGCCTCCAGCGCATGGAGCTCCTGTCTGGAGGTCAGAAGTCTCGTGTCGCCTTCGCCTGCCTGTCTTTGACCAACCCGCACATTCTGGTCCTGGACGAACCTTCTAACCATTTGGATATTGAAGGTATGGATGCGCTGTCCGAGGCTCTGCAAAACTTTGAGGGTGGTGTAGTGATGGTATCGCATGATGTGACGATGCTTCAAAATGTCTGCACCAGCTTGTGGGTCTGCGACAAGGGCACGGTTCACAAATTCGATGGCACTGTGAATGCCTATAAGAAGTTGATCAGTGCTCAAGCCAACGAGGCCGGAGTAGCTGCTCCGCACTAAGTCAGAGGACCTAGGATGATCGAGCCCAGTGAGGTCCAGGTAGACGAAGGTACTTACGTCATTGGGTTACCACGCGTGTGTGTATCCTATGTCTTTTAAGATGGTGGAAATTTCAATTCAACTGGTCTTGCTTAGCCCAACTATTTCAACTATTTGTCTACGAAAGTACGTACATATGTATTATGTAGGTGGTAATGAGTATGTACGTGGGTAGTAATTAATGCAAAAGACTGCGTTGCTTGACAGGCATCGCCAACTGGGTAGTGGGCTCGCTCTTGCTTATGTAAACTATACTAACTTAACTAGTCAAGTTAACTAATTAATAGTCTTCCCCAGATATGATCCGAGTGCTTGATTCCATTTCGAACTACGTACGAAACTTTGAACCCCCTTGTACACCGATTAATGCAGATGTCGATGTCGAACCTCTTCACACGCGCCAATCAATAAACTACTAAGCTATGAGTCGCAGGGACGAGAATGAGGTGGCGGATTCTAGTGCCCCTTTACTTTCCCAACGCTCGTTGGCAAATAGAGCGTCACAACGCGATGATGGGGACGCTCGGGTTTCTCGGCCCAGTTTAACACTGACAGGAGACTTTTTCATATTGTCCTTGACTTTTTCTGCTGGAATTAGTGGGCTTCTCTTCGGTTACGAGTAGGTGGTGTTTCATTGATCATTCTTGGCCCGGGCATGAGATTCCAAGTCGGCGAGCAGAAAGATTTCTGATAGTTCAAGTGGCTGATTATTTGTCTAAAGCACAGGTGTCATTTCATCAACGCTCGTGTCGATCGGCTCGGATCTTTCTAATCGTCCCCTCACTACTCTAGATAAGAGTCTTGTAACATCGTGCACAAGCTTGTTTGCTTTAGTCGCAAGCCCGCTGGCGGGCATACTGGCGGATAAATTCGGACGCAAAAAGGTTATAATCATTGCGGACGTGCTTTTTACCCTGGGGGCTTTCATACAGGCTGTAGCCACTACTGTTTGGGCTATGATAGTAGGGAGGAGCGTTGTCGGCTTGGCTGTTGGTGGGGCGAGCTTGGTCACGCCATTGTATGTCACGTAGCTCACGGATACCTGCTTCATATCGGAGAAAGACATACGGGGGATCGATCTCGACCGATTATGCTGACATTTGTTTCAGGTATATTTCTGAGTTGGCGCCATCCCATGAGCGTGGAAGATTGGTGACGATCTTGTGTCTACTCATCACTGGGGGGCAAGTCATAGCTTACATTGTTGGCTGGCTTTTGTCCAACACACCTGGCGGTTGGCGCTATATTGTCGGCCTTGGGATGATTCCTGCTATCTTTCAGTGCATCGCTGTTGGTACTCTACCCGAAACTCCACGATGGTTGGTGCAGGCAGGTCTCGAGAACGCAGCCACAAATGTCCTATTGCAGGTCTACCAGGCTCATGACGAAAATGTGCAAATTGTCGAGAGCATCTTGCATGATATCCAACAAGAAGTTACCGATGAGGCCGAGATCACAGGTCATTCAAACAAGTCTCCCGGACACAGTGAAAACTGGGTTGCAAATGCCACCCAGCGCACCCGCAGTCTCTTTCTTGTTGGTGGTAACCGCAGGGCATTGATCATAGCAGTTATTCTTCAAGGCCTACAGCAGCTATGCGGGTTCAACAGTTTATTATACTTCTCGAGTACACTTTTTGCCATTCTTTCATTCTCCTCCCCTACCCTTACGGCACTGGCAGTAGCGATGACCAACTTCGTTTTCACACTTTTGGCATTCATATATATTGATAGAATTGGCCGGCGGCGCATTCTGCTTTATTCCATACCTGTCATGGTTCTTTCGCTCGTCGCTTGCGCTATGGCCTTCGGGACTTTGGCTCTTCCTAGGTCATCATTCGAACCTGAGGGATCAAACGGAGCCGATGCTGCGATGGTCGAAGATTCCCTCCTCCCCTTACTAGTCCTTATCTGTCTCACGGTTTATACGGCCTCATACGCCTTTGGCCTCGGCAATGTTCCTTGGCAACAATCGGAGCTCTTTCCGCTGAACGTACGCTCGTTAGGTTCGTCTCTTGCAACAGCTACGAATTGGGGATCGAATTTCATCGTCGGGTTGACATTTTTACCTATGATGGAATGGCTATCACCGGCATGGACTTTCGCGACCTATGCGGCTGTATGCGTACTGGGGTGGATCGGCGTGTGGGCTATCTACCCCGAGATGAGTGGGCTCAGCCTTGAAGAGGTTAAAGATCTCCTGGCCAATGGTTGGGGGGTACAAGAGAGTCTGGTACGGGGTCATGGTCGTCCCTAAACCAGGTGCAAGGTGCTACGGAGTAGTCCAAATGCCAAGGTCAAAAGTCTTTCTCTAGTTGTGACTGATGACGGGCACGGGCTTAGCTGGCGTTCCCCACTAAGAATGAGATGAATTGAGCAGAACAATCTGGAGGGGTGAATCATCTGACTATGGTAATCACAAAGCACATAAGTACCAAATTCTGCAAGGTCCTGTCTAGTAAGTGACCAGTACTGAGCTATATCTTTTAAGTTAGTTGACTTCCTAGATATCAATCAGCACGTTGAATCCAATATAGAAGATTTAGGATCCAATCTAGCTCTATTTTTGCTGTGATGTGTTATGTACCTTGACTACAAAGACTGCTTGCCTTGGTAGCTTACTTTCGTAGCATTGCTTTGACTGCTTTATTCCAATGCATAGATCCATTCCGGGATGACCGAGTATAAATGCTTGCTTTTAGGAACTATTTTACCAGTGCGAACAAGTTCACTTGCGTGATTTCTTGGTGGAATATTGTGTACAATGACCGGCAGACGCTCGGTATGACTATTACTGCAATAGATGTGAGGCGCATAACCAGTAGGAAAGCAAAAGCCCTATTCTTCGATATCCTTGACCTTCTCCCACTGTCCCTTGAGGTTCTCCTTCCACAGACTGACTTTGTTATCTCCGCCACTCACCGCGAGAATGTTGCCGCTAGGGCTCCAGCTTACCCTCCACAGGACAGTGTCGAATTCGAGTTTCTGACTGGTCCATTGCCCGGGATTTGATGCATCAGAGGTCCAGATCCGAACAGTCTTGTCTTGCGAAGCGGATGCGATGTAGGACTTGGAAAGAATGCTGGGCGACCAGGCGACGTCCCGGACCCAATCGGTGTGGCCTTCTAGTGACTGGTTGAGGTTGTATGACTTAGACTCAGGGCTGTATTATGGTGACGTATCAGTTAGCAAGCTCCTTGATATGAAAAACCGCGACGGGCTTACTTGTAATCCCAGATCTTGAGCATATTATCACTTCCACCTGTCACAAACCTGCGCTGCTGGCCCAGTCCAGGGTTGGCGCTGATCAAGCTTCCAGGGACTGCAGCGGGCGCCCAACTGATGGAATTCACACCCATACCGTGCGCATGGAAGATTTGATGAGTCCAGCTGTTGTCGCGAAATTCAAGGACGCTAACATGACCGTCCGAGGAGGCGCAGGCCAAGACACAACCACTTTCATGAGGAGCCCAGGACACCATGTTTACCGAAGCAGTATGAAGCGAGAAATCAAAGACTTTAGTCCAGGCACCACCGCCAACAGGGGACGTTGTGTTCTGATGTTGCTCACGCCAGATGAGCACTTTTCCATCGTAGGAGGAGGAGGCCAGAATCGTGCCGAATTTCGGGTGCGCCTAGATGGATTACAGTTAAGCATCATGTCATTAACTCACAGCGAGAGACTCGAAAGAGGCTCGTCAAGTTCGGCATCTTCTATAACATACCCATGCAACACACCACACTGCTCCTTCATGGCTAGGTCGATAGTCTTGGGTCAGAATCACAGATTGTACTTTTATGCTCTTGTGTGCTTGTTGAAACTTCTTACCCCTTCAGAGTCTCGACTAGTCGGTGCGTTTCACCCTCAACCTCGAAAATCTTTATCGTCTTGTCCGAGGAGCATGTCGCCAATCTGCGGCCATAGTAGTCCAGACCCGCGTCGTGCTACAGCCCAACCCGGTCAGCGAATGAAAGTGCTAATTGAGGTTACTGTAATCAGGTGATCACAATGGAGTTGTCCTCCGCCCGCAGTCAACATACAATCATATCGTCGTGTCCAGAATTGGAGATCACTTGCGCAGCCGCCTATCCGCCCCTCGCGGGGGACCGTGTTAACAAACGAGAAGCTCAGGGATGGAGAAGAAGAACATACCATCTTGAATGAAGTGCAGCACCAAGTATAACCTGCAGTGCCTAACAATAGAAACTTCGAAAGTGCCGTAAAGGACGTGGTGCAATTTATGGGTAGAGGACAGCGAGGGGGTCGATGTGGTAACGTAAGTAGGAGAAGCGGCAGCGGCAGCAGCAGCAGCAAAACACCGCCAGCTTGTCCGTTACGCGGTCAGTCAGCCGCAGCCCGATCTTATCTTATCGGCTCAGTCAGCCATCTCTGGTCACTGTTGAATCCAGGCACGTGAGAGGGGCCTCAGGTTATAGAAGAACAAAGGCAACCAATTTTTGTTTGTCCAGTTTGTCCATACCAATTGATACTGAACATCTTGCACCCAGCAATGAAGTATGAGTATCTCCCAAAGGATGAATCTCGGCGGTTCTAAAACCCGCCGCGCTCTCAGTTCCTAGCAATCCGTCCGTCACGTCTTTGCCGGCGACATTGAATTCGTTGGGGTTTCCAGCACAGGGTCATGTTCTGGCTCCTTGAGTTTCCTATAATGAAGTAGTTAACTGATTTCGTCTCCATTGTGAAGAGGGTCGCAAGAAGTAAGCCCCTCTGAACAATGACATACAGCGAGGGACAGACGTGGATTATCAGAGTTGTAAGAGCACCGACGCGAAGTGAGCTGGCGAGCTGAGCTGGGAACATGCGGATTGATCTTCTGAAGGACGCCTAAGCTCCGGCTATTGTGTCTACGTGTGGTCTTTGACTGGGCTTTCACACACCTGATACTCGCCTCTTTTGTTCTTGTCCATGCAATTCGTGGGTGCCTGATTCTGGCTTTCTAGGAATGTGCAGTTCTCATCTACCTTCTTGTTTTTGGCCTACCTGTGGGCGGTCCAGTAAGTGGGTAGTAATGATTTTTATCTACTGTACATAGCTTTATGGGCAAGATTGCAATATCATTAAAGTATTAACTGATGGGTTGAGTACGCCAACGTTACCTCAGATTACCAATTTATGCGCTATCCAGGAAGTTAGGCGGTAGGCGGTGAGCATGCACTGTACCGGTGCACTCAGCGTCAGGAGTGTGGGGACAGCCTAGGTACGGTACGAGGCTCACCGTAGCCTTAGTGAACTCGTGTGAACTCGTTGCTACAGCTATTGATCAATGCTATGGTTTTGCAGAATACGAAGGCCGGAGAACGCCGCAAGTCCAGTGGCTTTATGTACAGCAATGGTCAGAGTCGAGCTCCTCCCTCACGCCAATCCCAAGCTGAGGAGTGTTTCGCGCCGTTCGGTTCAGCTTAGCCACCAGTTCGATATACACCAAAGCCTCGTTCAAGGGCGCTACCCGCTCTGGAAGAGAAATTACGGTACTAGATAGATTCGATAGGTTCTTGCAAGGATGGTCAATTTGAGTTTTGTGTGATTCGCGTCAAGACAGTTGTTCACGGAACCATGCAATCCCTGCTAGATTCGCCAATCAAGGCCCGATTTGTCCAAGGAGATAAGGACAGATGATACATGCAGGAATCACCTAGGAGATTAGCCGCACTATCAGTTCGGACTAGAGAAGTACTGTAAGGGCAATGGCGGGTTCCTGATTTTGACGGACCCAAAGGAGCGTGGGGGGAGATTTAGCCAATTCCAAGGTGTCTTGAGCAGCAAGGGCTCATGTCTGTCTATGCCCGCAAAGGGGCCAAAAAGGAGATCCTGAAACAAGAGCCTCGAATAAACCCTGGGATACGAAGAAGCGCGGCCAAAAGACTGATACTCGTTGGAGGTATTATTGTTGCTCAGGCAATGATGGATAATTAAGGCGGGTGATGCACCTGAAGCGGAGTAATGCATGGGATAGTCAAAGGGGGGGAGGAGGGTTGAGTATCATGAAAGATTCGACTATGAGTGTGGTTTTCATTCTAAATCTTTATCGTCGGTGATCTCGATTCAAGAGCAGCAAAGGCAATGATGTGACATCTTTTCGAAACAATAACAGGTCTAAGAGCGTTGACCATAGCAGTCAATAGCTCTGGATCTGAAGTACTCCGTAACACGAAATGAGAATTCTCTTTCATAGTGTACAGTACCTACGTACTTAGAGGTTAACACGAATAGTTCAAAGCTCCATCCCGACCGCCCGACCGACTAACTTATCGGCCGGGCCAGGAAAAGCGGAGCACCTCGGTTGGGAAGAAACTTGCAGCCCACGTTCCCTCCCGACTAATGTGATCTGTCACTAGGTACTCCGTACTATGTAATAACTTAGTAGATACTAATCAAAATTGTCATGGTCTTTGGGCCTACCAAATAAGCTCGGGGCGACGGAGTAGTCTAGGTAGGTAGACACGGACTACTGCCGATAACTTATTGATAGACACCGTTGGCCTGGCATTTTGACATCTCAGACGTACTACCGGTAAGCCCGCTAGTAATTTATCAGGTTTACTATTTCCTCACCCACCTCCTTCGGTTGTTCGCGTGCTGGGGATTGTAGCGCTGTTCAGATCGGAGGGATAGATGAAAATAATGGCCAAAGCTTGCCGGCTGGCGCTTGTGCATTGTGTAGGTCTGCTTGTTTGCGCACTGAATTAACATGTCCTGGACTAGATGGAGCGATGACAGATCGGACACTACATATTCAATTATCCATCCATCCATCCATCCATCCATCCATCACAGCTCTTTTGGGTATGCTTTACATAAAAGTCGACAAAATCCAGCCACTCTCGGAAAATAATTACGCGCTTGGCGGGTAATGCAAAGTGTGGTCTGTCGTCATTCTCCAGCAGCGGGAGTGAATACGTAGCGGGAAATCGGGGCCGAGGAAAGGGCGGCAGAAAATTTTCTATCAGCTCGAGCAAGAGCTAGAAAAGGATGGGAGTGCGCTGTGGGACTGGAGGAAAAGTAAGGTAAGGCATCATCCATCCCGCTTGTTCCCTTCAATCCCGTGCCTTGGAACGACCCTCGGTAAGTGCTGTACCTGAAAGGCTGACGGGCTACTCCGTAGTAGTTACAGCACATAGTACCATCGCCTATTGTTATTGCCATAAGCCTCACCTACTTACAGAGTACAGTGTATATCAGTTCAGAGAACATCTGTCTAGGGTGGAAAATTGATGCGATCTGGGTTACCTTGGCTGAAAGCCCGATCCAGATCTCCCTCCTTTATCAAGCACGAATCTCAAAAGCTACTACTATGCATGTGCTCGTAGGCACGAGTACGTAGAATATCAGTTGCTAATACCTGTGAACATCTAATCTAATTTCCAATGGCTACTTGTTATGTAGTCGGGTTCTCGCCGGCCCATCCGAAAGCTAACTACAGCCTATAAGTTAGCTGCTGAAGTGGGGATGGGACGGCTTGGTGTCACCAAACGGACCCTCATTCCACAATCACTGCGTGCCCTTCAGGCTCCGTCCACAAACAGTACCGGACCGGGCGCACTCACTGCAAGCCGATTTCCAGAGAATTATCCAAGAAACCATTCCATTGCATCATGGGGCGAGTTTGGTTCACCGTTGCCCGGCCTTCAATGAACGCATAACGAGGTGGTGTAACAATTAATCATTGGGCAATTCCAGGCCTCATAAACGGCTGACAGTAAACACATAACGTTACACATATTACTGGTGTGGATTCGATTCGACTCAACCACTGAATTCCGATTTCTCCAGCGCCGGCGACCCTTTCTGTTGTGAAATGTCATTTGCTAAGATCAGACAGAGGGGGCGGGTAGTTCTAGGTTAGTACCTGGTACGGTAGTCTACTGGTAGTCTTGGACCAAGCGCACAGGGTATCGGATCGTGCACGCTAGATAATTGGTGGTGCAAGATTCGCGCACATCGTCATAATTACACCATTATAATTTGAAATTCTGACAAGGATAGTGAGTAGTGAGTAAACTACTACTAGTTATTGTACAGTACTCGCACATACTTAGTTCAACTCCACCTTGTCTGGACCTAGACAACTCCGTACCTGGGGTATCACTAGCCCCATGGATGCGAAGCTATGAGTAGGTCACAAATCAAGATCGAATCTCAAAGTAATCTGACTGTTGGATCGACGCAAGTTGGCTCCTGTTTCGATTCGAGCTGATCCGTATTCTCGGGCAATTTCTCATTGATCGAGCGACCGACTGGAAAAACCTCGCTCCTTCCTGAATCTGCCAATCTATAAGTAATGGATTGCATCCATCTCAGTAAGTCGGTGTGCTATGCAATATCGAGTCAAAGTACCGGTCGATAGGACGGAACTTCTCTTGTACTGTACTTGCTGGAGCATGCTTTGCGCTGACTACATAGTATGAGTACTTCATGATGGGAGCGTAACAGAAAATGGCCTGCATATAATCTCCGCTCCACACATACTTTCCCTCCTTCCTCGCCAATTGACATGGCTGCGATCTGCCAAAATTGCCGGTAAGAGTTACAGGTAGGTCAGAAAGTGACTGACAATGCCTGTCCTTGCAGATGTAACAAAGCTAGATCCAAAAATCCCCGCGGCTGTTGGGGGCTCTCCTTCGCTGGGATCAGGTTGAGTAGTAGGTACAGTACTCCGTACCTAGTAGGCATTCAAGGGGAGCTTCACGGAAGGAGCCTGCCGTTGTTTCCATTTCTGTCACTTTCACTCTTATTTTGTTCCTTCGAAGGGTACCTGCAAGCACCTGTTACTATTAATGACGGAGATCGCATCCATGATCCATCTCATCTTCGATCCATCGAAATCGCCCTGCAGTGGGTGCTTTGCTGGGGGGTGGGAACTCCTAGCGTGATTCATTCCTCTCCAGTCATTAAGTGGTGGTTGAGTTTAGACTAGAACCAGACAAACCTCGCCCGTGGGAAGGAAAAGCAAGTGGCCGCCGTGTCCCACTGCTGGCTGGGGCTTTAGTGTTGATCGATGACCGGCTCTGGGTTCTGTTGTTATTATTCCTCCATCGTATTATTATTCTTATTATTCTTCTTCTTATTCTTCTTCTTTTTCTTCTTCCTCCTCTTCTTTCTCCTCTTCTTCCTCCTCCTCCTCTTCTTCTTAATCCTTCTTCATTATCCGGCTAGCTAGCTATCGCTAAATTACCGGTGCTGCTAATTACTTCTTTTCCCTTCTGTTCTCTTTTACTAATTCTCCCACCCCTTCCTACCCCCTCTCCTCCCAGATAATAATAGCCACTGTCGCGCTCACCCTCCCTTCTTCACCTGGACGGAGATTATTGCGATTTGTCCGGGTCACTGAATCTTAAAATTGGGTCGCTGCCGTCAGCACTCCGTCTTGTTTTTTTCGCCTCCTCATTCTTTAGCGACATTCCTTTCTAAATCTCGGTTTCCATTCCTTCTTTGAGCTCTTTCCCCCGCCTTCAGAGCTGGCTCCAACGCGCTTTGCCCTCACGCAATCTAAGCACACAATCATCGCGCCTAGTGTTGTTGCACTGTAAGAGTAACCTATACAAGATCAGCGGTCGTCTCCGTGCATTTTCCCGCATCCGCGCTGGACACCTCAGATCAGACTGTGTCGGCATATCTCTCTCCTCCCTCTGGATAGGATCTTATCTATCTACATGTACCAGGCTAGCTGATCCTCCTCGTGCATGATAATGCAGATGGGAGGTCAGGTCACAAGTGATTTCGATGCTGCGGACTTGAGCTTCGTGGTATTTGACGCTATTCTCTGCGCCCTTTGAGAATGGAGCATGTATCCACAGTAAGTGCCGTGTTCTTGAGAATTAAGAGCTTCGCAGTATCTGCCCGCCTCGCCTGCCATTCGTGCTTGCTATTCGGCGCAAACGTGACCTCGATCAGACGCGCATCTGACTGGTCTGCTTTCTCTTAGTTATGTGCCATTAGCACCGTCGGTATTGCAGCAACAGGCTTCGCGTTCGGTCGTGTGGATCGAAGCTCCTCCAAGCCCAGCAGGTTCCGTAAGAGGACCCTCCCGCTCCAGGATCAATGTGCGACGGCGACAGATATACCGGATTCTCCAACCTCGAATTGGGTACACCCAGCTCTGCGCAAGCCGTTCTCAACCGCAGCTGCCGAATCCCCGCTCGAAGCAGAATTCTCCGAAGATCATGAGGATGGTCACTCTAATACA